TCTCTCTCTCTCTCTCTCTCTCTCTCTCTCTCTCTCTCTCTCTCTCTATGTTTGGAGCCCAAAATCGGAATACATTATCCAAAATGAACCATTATCGAATTATTAAAATCAAAATACAATAAATTATCGGATGCGTTACACACGCAGATGTCGAATAAGAAGCCAACTCTAGTTTTTTCTCTCTCTTTTGTCGATGCCTGTATATTTGATTTTCTTGAGATTTGTTTTCCTCTACGTATTCGTCGGTGTGACGTGCACGCACAACTAAAAAAAAAACCTGATTTCGATTATGTTCGACATGAAAGAAAAGGCTTTGGACAGTAAACGTTTTCAGTTCAACATTAAATATTCGTTCTTGTTTCCAAGATGTATTTTAGCGTTTTTTTTCCTTAGTCTTGAGATCTTAGAACAGATTTTAAATGCTGAACTTCGTTAGAACAGCTTTTTTTTCAATGTAATTTACACGTTCAGCCTTTTCATGCTCGCTTTTTTCTGTTGAACGAAGTTTGAAAAAAAAATGCTGGAAAGTTTTTTTTCTGCTCTGTTCGTTCCATAGAAATCAGTGGTAGAAAGTCAAATGAAGAAAAATGATTCGAACTTATTGCAAAAGTCATGAATTTTAATCCGATTCCCCATGATTCCTTCATAATCTCTTTGCAATGTATTGAACGAGCTCTGTTTTTTTGCAAACAGTGCGACTTAATCCTTCGTTCAAAAATAGATTCCCGTTTGGGGAATTTCTACTGGATTCGTTTGCAAACATCTAAAATTTCCAGAAAGAATCTAAGTTCTGAGATTTATTCATTCATTGTGTATCAAATTTTCAAACAAATAATTAATTTACTTTGTTTATGAAAGATTTTTCGTAACTATTTTATATAAACTTGAAAAGTAATCAAGTTTTATGCCTGATAAAAGTCAAATATAAAATGTTCATCATGATTTTGTATATGAAAATATTCCCAACTGAATTTTTTTTTCTACAGATCGGCAGAACACACCTTGTATGTATTAATCTCGCATGTAAACTTCGAAAAAAAGAAAATATTTCCGTTTTTTTTTTCAAAATATTTTTCATTGCGTATTCGTGATATACAAGAGAAGATCAAGCAGAACCATCGTCTACATCGACAATACGACCAATACACGCATTCGTTACAGAAAAATGAATCGAACGCTTTTTTCAATGCAACCAGTTTTGAGTTGTTCATGTAAAAAAGCGAATCAAGTGTCACCGAATCAAATCACACTGTGTAAATGTAAATGAAAAAGTTCTACACTCCGTGATATGAAAGAGAGATGAAAATACAGACATTATTTATACATGACTTTCTTCCAACGATAGAGAGAGAAATCACGAAAGAAAAACGATTCGAACTTATTGCAAGAGTCATGAATTTTAATCCGATTCCCATTGATCCCTTTGCTTTTCTTTTATAAAATGTAACGAGTTAAAAGTTTTGCAAACAGTATGATACATCATCAAGGTATCACCTCTGTTCGAAAGTTAATTCCCGTTTGGGGAATTTCTACTGAATTCGTGAGCAAAAGTGTCGTTCAAAAAATAATGCTGTGATATAGCGCGAGGGAGCGAACAAATATTTCTCACATTCCTCCTTCGTAAAAAAAAATGGAAAAATAACAGAATTCAAGTATTCACTTAACGTGTCCGAAAAAAACCAACCATTGAGCAAATGTTTGCCTCGGCCATTTGGACTTCATTTTTCGAAGGAGACAAAGCAAACGAGAAGACAGAGTTTTCTCTGATTTCCAGAGATTTCTTTCCGAAAAAGAGATGAAAACGAGATTTCGTCTTGAGAATGAAAAAAAAAGGTCTTCGAGATGCAATATCTTTTGAATTCCTTCTAAATGTTTAAAAACGATGTCACACATTCCACTTTTTGTTGAAACAATCACCGTCTTGGTCACCGTTTAATACAGTGTCGTCTCCTTTGTTTTCCTTTTGTTTAGAGTTAAAATGTGTGTTTTTTTTTTGACGGCTCTTTTGTTTAAAACGTTCAAGTATTGAATCATACCTTTTGAATGCAACAGAAAAAAAAAACACATTTCCAAGAGAAAAAAAGAGCAGCATGTTTAGTTTATGATTTCATTTTGTGTTTTAGATAATGCCGATGGAAACGGAAGAACGTCCATTATCACTGGTTCGATCACGCATCGATCAATTCCTTCATTCGGGCACATCTTCAGCCATTCGAAATTCGTCCGGCAGTCGATCATCGTCGGCAACTGGCTATGAAGCGCAGTTTGCCTACCAACAACATTTGCCCACTGGAATCATGAATCAATCAGTGCGTCCACATCGCGAATCGTCGGCTTTTGTTCCTGTTCTTCCATCGCGAAGCGTATCGGTAAGTTACACAATTGAGTTTTTAGTTTTGAGAAAGAAAAATCGCAAAAAAATGAAGGAAAAAATAAATGGGAAAACCAAAAAAAGAATTGAATGATTACAATTGTTGGCCTGAGAAGAAAAATCTTTCCTACAAAACTTGTGCGCAGAACACAAACACAGAATTTTTTTTGTCAAATGGCGAACAGCAAATTAGCGAGCGCAAAAACCTAATATATTTACAGCGAGCGCAAAAATATAACAAGCCTACTAGCATGCAAACTCCGTATAAGTAGGCCTGTTATGCTTTTGCGCTCGCTGTAAATATATTAGGTTTTTGCGCTCGCAAATTTGCTGTTCTTGCTTGTTTCTATGGTTGTGTTCTGCGCACAGGTTTTGTAGGAAAGGTTTTTCTTCTCAGGCCGACAATCGTAATCAATTATGATCAATATTTAGAATTTATATTCAAATTTAGACATTTTTCCATCAAATTTTCAATTTGTCTCTTCCAGTTATACCCGCCTGGAATGCTCGAACAATCCGAGCAGCTTGCAAAAGAGAGCAACAGTCAGCGTAGCTCGGCGAATTACAATATAATTGCCATGATGGCCGACAAAGCGAATGCGATGCTAATGCAACGACCATCGTTGAGTGGTGGTCCGGTGCCACCGCAACACATTTACACAAATGGTTCATTTTTAGGAGCTTCTGTACCGTCACCAGGTGCTGCCGCGTCATTTACATTCCCATCGAATTCAGCGTCAATATTTCCGCAAAATGTCGTTCCACCCGGCCTGCACAGTAGCTTAGATCGTCGTTTGATGCGTGCACCAGGCCGAGCTTCACGGCCAAAAAAGAAATTCATCTGCAAATTTTGCCATCGAGAATTCACAAAGTCATATAATTTACTAATCCACGAACGAACGCACACCGATGAGCGGCCGTACTCCTGCGACATATGCAACAAAGCATTTCGAAGACAGGATCACCTTCGAGACCACAGGTATGTTGAACTCTCTTAAAAATCCAAAAAAAAAAGCGAATACAACATTGTCTTAATTATATACGTTCGTTCATCTGCCTCGAACCCTTTTTTCACGCTCGACTTTCAACTCCAAAAATGAAATTTATCAAAGAGATTTATACCTTTCAAGCGTATTATCTTATCAGATTTTTATCAGTACAAGCAAGTTACCGCAGTATACGTGAGCTTCTAGTGCAGTTTAAGTAAGACAGAACCATAAAATGGTTTAAGTAGCACGGCAACACATGCGTCATGTACATTTAACTGACATGTGATCAAACAACGATGTTTACATTACATTTTTTCTGTTTTTGAACGAAAAAAAAAATACATCGTATTTAATATTCTCTGGTGAATCCCATTTATATTTGAACGGTAACGAGAACTTCTGGCGACATGAAGTGGTTATCAAAATACAAAGATAATCTACCACTTTTTTTTTTTAGCTGAATCAGCATTCTACACGACTTTTCGAGTACGAATGAAATATCTCTTTACATTTGCATCGTTGTGTGGAGTTTTTCTTTGAATCGATTAATTGCCTAAAAGCCCTTTTACATTCAATCAGTTTCATTCGATGGAAAAAAAAAACACACTCAGCGTGTTATATTAAAATTGAATCTTGCATTTTTTTTTGTTTCGTTTCATTTTGATCGAATATTTCCATTTAATTGAACGAAAATTTAATTATTACTAATGGAATGTAATAACTGGAAATTCATATGAAAAAAAGTACCTTGATGCTGAGATTACTTATGGGCTAGGTGTATGTGTGCGGTTTTTTGTTCATTCAAATGCCGAGATTTATTTCGTGTTCATATATGCGCTGCGATTTGTACATAAATTCCGACGCACGCTCAACGAACTAAAGTGTTCAAGATTGGCCGTATGCATTGTCCGAGATTGAAGTAGAGTGTACAACTCAGAGTGTGAGTGCGGTGATTGTGTGTAGAAAGAATGCTTTTTTTTTCTTCACAAAGTCTGGCCAATTCACTGTGTGTGCTCTTGCTGTTAGAACTGGTATGCTAAGCCAATCGAAAATCGTTACACACAGCCAGTATGACTCATTCGATTGCATTGAAAGATCGATTTTTTTTTCCTTTTCGCTGGTAGAATATACACACAGCACGCACATTACATACATTATACATTGCAGGTCAAAGACGTAAATGCATGATTGATGACTGGCTTTTTTGAATTTCTCATACGAGAGCGAAACAAAAAGTGTTCACTTGATTCTCTTTTTTTCTGTTGTTGTTGTTTTTCAATGCATGCACACCAATCCATTACATAGAAGACATTAAAAGCGGAATGAGAAGACACACACAGAGAGAGAGACAGACAGAGAAAAAACATCCTCGGCATTGTGTTTTTACTTGGAATTAGTTGTTGGGCTGATGTACAGCTAAAGAGCTAAAATGAATTACTACTGTAGAAAAAACAAACGAGAAGCATTGAAAGAAATGCATGTAAATGCGTTTCTACCTATTCACACTGACTACTTGATAATTTTTTTTTCGTTCTCATTTTTGAATTCCGTTTCGTGCGTTTGAAAAATGCTTGATTATAACGTCGAACTGGCGACACAGAACACCAACCATTTCGATGGAATGGATTTTTTTCGGAGATTCATAAGAAAATATTTCACATTCGACGCAATAATTGGATTTAATCTAAATAATTTATTTATTTGGGCCTTAATTAAACTTTGCATGTAAGATTCTGGTTCGTTCTGTGTCTGTTTTTTTTCTTTTTTACCTGAAAACTCACGCTAAACACGAATCGTTTTATTTGGATAGTGGAGGCTTAATATTATTCACAATATTGAACGAGTTTTTCTCTGTATTCAACGAAAGAGACGAATAAACAGCCACCAAGAGCTATCTGAAAAGCAAGAAAAATTTAGTAAAGGTTTTGCCTGAAAAGAAAAAACTGTAACATACGGAATAGGCTCCTAAATTAATGAACGTAAGTCGTCTTACTGCAGCAAAAGAGAGAAAATAACAAAATGATGTGAATAATAAAAAAAAAACTCCACACACAGAAAGATAAGGAACGTAGGGAAAAAGGTTGAAGAAATCTCCACGAAAAAAAAGCAAAATAAAAAGAGAGACAAACCGGTTTTTGTGTACACCGATCTCAAGCGCTGATACACAACAGCTATTTATGGTGTATGTGTATGTGTGTTTTTTTTCTTATCTTTTTCTTACGTCGCGACTCTGCAGCTATCTTATTACATTTTGCCTTACCTTTACTCCACGTCCGTTCGAACGATGATTGCTGAATACACGTTTAGCGAATATGCATGCATATAAATATAGCGTGTATCGAATTTTGTCGTCAATACACTTCGATGGCGGAATATCCCATTTAATTTTGAGCCTCATTTTATCGCATTTTTCGCTCTTTCTCTCTCTCTCTCTCTCTCTCTCTCTCGCTCGACTCTCTTTGGCAAACTCTTAAAAAACACTCCACCTAATATAGAATCCGAATCGAAATAAAAATGTTGAATTTGTGATTTAAATCTTCAAACACACACACACACACTATTTCTCTAATTGAAAATGGTCACAAAGTGTGGCACTATTTGTTGTTGTTCTTCAAATTTGTGAAGAAAACGAGAAAGCAATGCGTTTGGTGCGATATTCGAAGCACAGAAGGAGAATAAAGATAATGCCATACATTTTGACTAATGAATAATGCTATCTAATGAGGTAGATACCGGCCATAAAATAACACATACCATCCGACGAAAGGTGTGAAGGAATTATTTCAACAGCGGAAACTATTTATCTACCAATGTTTTTAACACTTTTCAGTGAAGAAAAAAAGAAGAAAAATGAGATAGAACGAAAAAGACCGAACGTACGAATGAACTATGCCGTATTGCTTCGATTTTAAGAAGTCTTTGGTTTGAATAATGATCGCCAGGATTAGAATTAATTAATTTACGTCTTCTGATTACCAAGCAAACGGAGATCGACGGTTACCAATAGAGCCACAGAACAATAATCACAAAAAAAAAAATGCAAGAGCTGAAAACATCGACAATTCGAGTCTGGTTTTAATTTCGACCATTTTCTTTTTTTGCATCGCCTCGATTCTGAAGATCGTTTTTGTTCGCTTCAAAAACATGTTTTCAATTTCAATTAAAATGTAATTTAATTTGCTCTGTGCGAGAGTCTGCACTAGATTGAGATTGAAGCGAAAAGAGAGCATGAAACTGCACGACAAAATGAGCGGCATGCATGCATTTGTGGTGAGCACTATTGTGAGAAAGTTTATTGACTATAGGGCTGAATTACGTTCCGTAAATTGGCGATGCAACTTCAAGATGGAAAATATAGACATGAAACTAATTATTCCAGAATTGTAATTAAATAATAAAAAAACCGAAGTAAAATCCCCCACACAATTCACCGCTTCGCGAGTTCAATCAAGAGCAAATAAAAATGTTTGACTCTGTGGTGCGAGGAGGGAAAAAAATCACAGAGATTTTCATGCAATAATTTATTATCATTACAAATTCTTCGAGAAGATTGAGAACACCTCCAAGGCATAACATGTTCTGTATGCGAATCAAAGCCTCTTATACGTACACTAATGTTCTTGTTACTTTGTACACAGTGTACATGCTCACTGTGTTCTTGACTTTTTCACTTGAGTCTTTCGCCTTTATGAAACGAACAGCTACAACAACAGCCACACGAAATATAAAATCAGTGCTTTAATGTCGATATCTTTTCGTAAGTGTAAGCTGTAACGTGTTCATGTTCTTTAGATTTTATAATTCTTGCGCGCTTTTTTGTTGTTGTTTGTTTGCAGCATCGGTTGCAACAACAGCACTGAGTGTGTTTTGTATGTGTAGTTTTCTGCATCCGAGGCGAATCACCTGCGATCAGATTTATGATTAACGTCTCTGGGGTAGCCGTAATGATAGGCTGCTTGCAAAGTGAACGTATATACACAATATATTGAGCATCAATGTTTTGAAGCGTATTCAGCCGCCTTTTTTGTTACGTGCATTCATGCCAATTCTTCTCTTCTGTCGCGTTTTTTTTTTCTCCTCTCATTTTCGAGCCTTTCAAACTTTATCCCATGTTTATGAGAAAGAGACGTGCACATTCTGAACATTCGCATATGCATATTCAACGAAAATTTGACTTAATATCGGAGGACCCATTGAATATTCCCGATATGAACAACAACAAAAGAAAAAAAAAGGCCAAACATAATTTTTGCTTTCTCCGCAGAGAATGGGCATTAATGTCGTTTTATTATCTTCTTTTTCTTGCAGGTATATTCATTCGAAAGAGAAGCCATTCAAGTGTACGGAGTGTGGCAAAGGATTTTGTCAATCGCGAACGCTGGCCGTGCACAAAACGCTTCATTTGGAAGAGTCTCCACACAAGTGCCAAGTGTGCAACCGAAGTTTTAATCAACGCTCAAATTTGAAAACACACTTGCTCACACACACCGACCATAAGCCATACGAATGTGGAACGTGTGGCAAAGTGTTCCGAAGGAATTGTGATCTCAGAAGACATGCACTGACGCACACAATCGGCGGTGATATGCCGCCCGAATTGAATGAAAATGGCAACGATTCGGCTAACGAAAAAATAATGATCGACGATGAAAATGATGATGCGAACGAACTCGAAGATGAATTTGATGACATTCAAGTGGATTCGCCGGTAAATGAACGCAATACACCGTCACCCGTGGTTCCGGATAGCAAAGGTGGTGATAATGAATCGGTGAAAGAGGAAAAGCATCGTGAAGATGTGCTCGATGGTGAACCGCCACGTAAAATGCCACGTTTGGAACAAATTCCGAAAGACGATAGTGAATTGTCGGGTATTACACATTGTCACCACAATGGAGGACAGACACATTATACAATGAGACCTCAGCAAATATCATGTGGCTTGGCCGCCGATGGAAAGCTACACGTTCGACGGGATTTACATTACAAAGTCGACGCACCAACAACATCCATTCATTCATCAAACAACAACGCCTCGGCTGCAACCACAAGCAGCAGCATTATCGGTGCTCCAGTTCCATTCCGCAAACGATCGGCCGGACTTACCTATGAAAATCCAGAAACTGATCATCCACTCGTTTCCAGCTCTCACCATGTTCCATTGCATACATCGCCATTGAATCTATCGAATCACTCATCAACCACACGAAATCAAGAAACGTCCAATGGTAAGCAATTCAAAACTGAAATCAAAGCCATTTCCATGTTATTAATATGGATTTCTTTAATTTCAACAGCTTCTCAACCACCACAACAGCCACCGCCAGCTCCGGCTCCGCCACGCCGAACCGGCTTCAGCATTGAGGATATAATGCGCAGATGAATCTGCTCTGAATTTTTAAGTACAAAGGCTGCGTCGAGATTTCGTACAAATTTTTTTTTTTAGAAATGATATAAAGACAGAAAGTGTTTGTTTCATCTGCCATAAATGCATCGAGACTGATAACCTTCCGACGGAGAGAGACAGACAGGAAGTTTGCGTAATATTTTTAGTTTATGAAGCCGCATCACGTCTCACAACGATGTCAATGAAAGAAACCGAGTGATGTCTTCCAAGGAATCCTTCAAGAGACCCGAATCGAAACAAACGAAACAAGGATTGCGTGTTTTATCTGTCCTCGTGAATAGTGAGAGCTTCACAAGTCCTCAAGATGACAAAACATCTCTTAATGTAAACGAAACAAAAAATTAGCCTAAACTTAAGAATATTCTCGTTGTAATAGTCGTACTTAAGCCAAGAAACCGCGAGGGATTTCAATTCATTCTAAGCATAAAGCGAGAAGGTTCATCCAATTTGAATGTTTACATTGAATGGAATAAGTGCCTTTACATTCCATTTAGTTTTTTTCCATTATTGATCTGAACGAATAAGTGTAGTTTGCAAGTGAATCGACCGTAATCACGTGAATTAGAAGAACAAATGATGTTTCAGTAGAATATTAGTCTCTAAATAAGAATCAATCAATAGATTAGTTTCGAAATTTAGCAAAAAATGAATGTACTTCCGAAATTGCGGCTTAAAGTCAAACTGACAATCTTCAGCTCAGAAGAGTGTTTACGAAAAAAAAAAATTAGTTTAAATTTATATATAGGTAATGCCCCTGTTTTGTGTTAATTTAGCGGACTGTATACTTTAGTAAATGAATAAGTTTGATGGATAAGCGTTTCTCATCTTTTTTTCTTTAGCCATCCATATTCATATCATAAACGTGGTAAACATACACTGTTGTGTGATGCGATATTCGATTTAAACATTTGACTATTTTGTTATTAAGATAAAGTCTAAAAATAGACAACGATTTGAAGAGAAAACAAATTGCATCAAATTTCCGTTTTATCAAGTGCTCAACTGCGAATAAATATTTCTCTTTTTATTTTCATAGTTTGTAGGTGCGAATTAATGTAAGTAGTGAATACTGCAGCATTTCAAATAAATCAGATTTTAATGAGAAAAAAACAACTCTTTTATTCGGAACTAAATGAACTGCAACATTTCAGCAAAAACTTTTTTGAAGATCCAAACAATAGATAAATCGATGACTAGATTTCATCAATGCAATAATGCTTTTGTCGAATGTGGACGAAACGACGATAAACAAATGAATGGATGATCTTATGTGAGTATTTTTGGAATTCTTTCAATCAGAGCATTTTCGATGAATAAACTTTAAATTCAGATGGAGTCATTTTACGATAATCGTCTTTGTAATTTATGGCAGCAGCTCGCAATGTTGTGTCATCGAATGACGACTTCGCGTTGATGCTATTTTCGTTGCGCTGAAGCCACCATCATTATCATTTCCATTTTTATTATGCAAACCGTTTTCTTTCTCGGGAATCTAATTTTATCTCTTTTTTGCGACGCGATAATAATAATGATCAAACAGCTGTATCCAAACTATGATTTTAATTTGACCGCTATAAAGAATGTAAGAATGTCACATTCATAATTGAGTTCAATTTTCTTCAACAGATAACAGTTGCATAGGTTTGTATAATAATTTGTAAATCGTTTATTTATTTTTAATCACACAAAACAATAAGTACACGTTAGCTATTCTCTAGTAAAATCTAATATTTGTGCGAGAACTATTTCGGTTCGTATGCATTAAACAAACATGTTATCGATTACATTCAATACGTTGTTTATGTGTAAATGAGGAAATCGGATTAAATAATTGGTCACTTGTGTTTTTTTTTTGTTTGTCTCCGTTCGATCATTGTACCAGAGAATCATAATGTAATGGTCGCTTTTAAGTGCGCATTGGTTTTTTTTTTTTGCTTTGTTTTTGAATTTCGTTCTGGGTGTTAAGAGTGAGTTTAGTGAGTGTGAAGTTGGCAGTGATTTTTTACTTAAATGCTAGGCTGAGCCGGGTACTAAAACCATTATTGAAACGATGAAATTTTGTTATTTAAATCAAACTATGGACACCATCTATTAGCGTGGGATTCTAAAGGGCAAGATGCTGCAGGATCGATTAGATAGTTTTCTAGTTTAGATAGATAACTAGTAGTATTTCAGCTGTCATCTATAGAAGATTGAATTAAAACCTTTTTTCAAAGGAAGAAACGAAAAAATATGAATAAATAGAGTTCATATATGTTGTGCTAGTCCTTTTCATGTGATCAATCAATCATGGAACAACTCAGTTAGTCATTTCAATATGTACGAATGACACCTACACTGAATATGAACACTTATCCATTAAATATATCATGACAGACAGCGTCAATTACTCATTCAACAGCTAAACCATCCCATTTTGCATACTTTACGGTGAATAACACACATTACTTTTAATTTATGATTAAAAATACCGTGCAAACGGTTTGTGGTCAACATTTCTGTTATCGCAACAAAGATAATGCTTTGGAATATGAATTGAGTCATAATAATATACGGTGTTTCAATTTTCTGTACGGACAATTTAAACGAAAATAAAAAATCGCACAGTTTAGAATTTTATATCATTAGAATTTGCAATGCTTCAACAAGAAATAAGAAATTTGTTTAATAATTTGATTAAAATGTTGTTCTTCAAATATAATAATCGGTGTATAAATAAATTTATTTTGAATTAAATGTTCTTTTCTTTATTCGCGCATAAAACGTATCGCCCTGAAAAGTAGCATACATATTCAAATGAATAAATGGATGAATTTACTTTTGATTAAAAATGATTGAAGTTTGATTAATTTGATGGAAATTTGTTGTTGTCATAATAAAAATCTGTTTCATGAAGTAACGTTTCAAATAAATGTTGATTAGAATATATATATATAAATGAGATAACAATGTCATATTGAAATAGAATGGAAAAAGTTGCCGACATTTTTCAACAGAAGTGACTGAAATAACACATAAGATTTGGCACAAAATATGTATGCGGCTCATACTGTCGTTCCATCCACGACCACGTTATATCTGTACTTGGAATAAAATTAACTCAATTTCTAACTTTCGGCAGAACCACGACCTGTTGACGCATTCGTTTTGTGTTTAGTATGTCGGTTGTCAGATACAGAGTACAGTTTAAACTAAATGATTAACATTCAAGTGAATAGTTTCAGTTGAACTGAAAACGGTATAGATTATTTCTTGTAAGAGGTCTATATCTAAACTAACTAGTTCCATTTTCAGTGAATTCATAATGTAATGAATAAGGTTTAGTTATTTTTTTTTCTTTCTCTTTTTCTTCGTTTAAATTAGCGACCAGTGGTCGCCGACCACAGAAAACACGGGGAAAGCTTGTTGTTCGATTACCTAATTTAAGTTCAGGTCTAGTCTAGTTGAAATACAATAATATTCATGCTTTTTTTTTTATCATAAGTGCTTGTTTAGTTTGTGGACCATTGGGGATGATCAACGATCGCGAATCATGAGTCTTGATGCAGAATTGCACTTGCATTGAATCTACAATTTACGAAGCCTTCATCCAACGATCGATTGAGTATTCGAGTGCAGCAACCCATCTGAAATGTCGAAATGAAAGAGAAAAATAAATAATATGAACGAATTTACGTGTTGAATCGAACTGGACACTTTACCTCTTTTTATCCATGTCCGAATCAGTACTAAAGCAATAGTGACGCAGCTTTGGTTCCGGCGGAGATATTTCAAATGCATACTTCTTGCCAACTGCATTGTTTGAAATGGATACACGGTATCCTTGCAAACAAGCCATTCCTGTAATTTACACATTTTCACATTAGTTTCTTGGAAAATTAAATCGATTTGATTTTATTGAATAATTTTCGTGCAGAAATTCATTCAATTCAATTTAATTCGGTCAAAGTGATTATTTCAATTAAAACACGCCCATGAGTTCTGAATGATCTTCGTAAATTAATGTTCCAATTACCAAGAGCATTTTTGCTGCTGCCATCCAAATAAAAGTATAAGCAGGCATCTTTGAGTACGCAATAGCGTTTCGACCATGTTCTCCATCGATTTCCCAATTTTAGAAGATAACCAAAGCAATCTGGACGTGGTATGCTACTTGGTGGCAATCGCAAATTTCGAGTGCTCATTTCGAGCCATGGATCACTTTGCTTCGATGCGTGACTGGTCACTGCGACCCAGCGATTAACGGCTTCTTCTGTATCGGCCGCTAAGTATAGCGGAGCACCTTCAGATAATGAAATACGAAATGCGAACGGCCTGCCAATATCAGCGGAGCAGCTCTCGACTGAGTGATTTGTCAGTAAAATAGCACCAACGGGTTGTGTGTCCTTTAATAAATGTAATGATTAATCCATAACAAAAAGAATCATTTCGGGGAGTAATTGTGTTATTTCCATTTGTTCATGTACCTGTTCTGATTTGTAATAATATAAGCAGTGATCGGGGCGTAAGCAGAACCAACGTCTAACCCATTTTTTACTGCACACTTGATTATCGTGTCCCTGTCGCCATAAATATCCAGAATACAAAAATGGACTCGGCGCTTCGGCCGCTTCATTATTCAATACACCAAACGTTCGTGCCACCTATAAAATCAAAATTAAAATCCAATGGGTAATGTGTTGAACATCGCTTTTGCAAATAATGACAAAGGAAAAATAGTAAATTCAAAATTACCTCTAGTTCCAGCACATCACTGCCAGCGTGTGCAATTTTAACGACCTCTGAATGACTTTTATCGATCACTGACACACCATTCACCGACAAAACAATGTCTCCGATCTCGAGACCAGATGATTCTGCCGGTGTTTCTGGTTCAATTGCTGAAACGACAACTGGCTTCGAGCCATGTATTCGAAATCCAAATTCACCAGATTCGCGACGCACAATTATAGTTTTGTCGGTATCTGTAAAATAAGGGAAATCTATTTTTGAATTTGCCTGCCAGAAAGAATGTTTTCGTTGTAAAATACGAGTCCAATTGTAACGCGTCCAACAAATAAAAAGCAGCAATTGCTGAATTTATATATCTAGGAACATCTGAGCAATGAACTGTGCACAGCATTGAGTTGCTGTGATTTTGATTTGTAATATTTTGTTTTGTTCTGTTGATTGATTACCGCTCTTTTTTCCAGAAATATTACGAATGGCCATGTTTTCCGTGGTCCACACTCGAATCATTTGCTTAAGAATTGCTTCTAATGGTCGATAAAGCGTCTCGTCTTTGTTTTGCGAAATACATTTTACTTCTTTTGTGTGCGATTGAATTGATTTTAAACGGTGGCTTTTTAACATCCTCAATGAGTTTGAATTCAAAATAAAACTGGAATTACGTAACTCGCAGACTAATTGCACGAAATCGAAATATCACGCAATGCGTTTCTCTAAGGTTCGAGTGAAGTGCTGTTGTCTTCACGGAAAATTGAAAGCGACTGGCTCGCATCGTTCTGGCTGAGAGCGCGGTTCAACGTCACAAAATGAAACCGGCCCATTGTGCGTTTCTATTTTTGAATTAATTTATAACATCAACTGTGCAGTTTGAAAATTGATGCATTATTATTTGCATTAAGTAAATCACAAATTGCTGCGAGTATTTGAAATTTTCCGTGCAATAGGATCGAGGCTGTCATTCAAACTATTGTAGAAAACAGGTTTCGAAATCTATTTACAGACGCCAGAACCGTTTTCAAGACAAAACAAAATAAAAACAGAAAAATGAGAGAAGAAATAAATAAACACATACTAAATGAGTTGCTAGACTGTCGACGATACATTTCACAAGTCGACTTGCGATGCACCAATCGATGAGTAATCGCCTGGTACTTTTTGCGGAAATCTTTCTCCGATTCGGTTGAAGGTCGACGATCAGTCAGTAGATCTTTTGCTCGTTCTGCAACATTTAAGTTAATTGTAAATAATTATAGCGAAATGTTTGTTGCGACAAGAAATGAACGAATGATAAAAATGATTTACCTTCATTGAAAGGAAATTCGTTGCGGTGCCAGACATCACGGTCAGTGATGCATATCCACATGCCAAGCCGGTACAGGCCATGATAGATGCCTTGCTCGGGATCCGCAATGTTGTTGCGTACATTAAACGAATTATCAACGACGACACATGGACTGGAACCAGCCGCTCGCAACGATTGCTCTTTGCTTGTTTCGTCTTTTCCACGCTCTTCGCTCTAATTTTAAAAAAGTAAATCGAAATATTATGCACCGGATTGAATATTAAATGATGAGCGTCGTTAATCGTAGATTCATTAATGAACTCATTCGATTTCATTTCGGTTTGAAATGAAAAGCAATTTACGATGTTTAGATTACATAAATAAAATGATCTTAATAAAGTAATTTGGTCCATACTTTGGCACGCGTACTCTCCTGACGGCTGCGATAGTGTTTTCGTTCGCCATGTCTCTCTTCTGATCGAAGTCGTCGGTCAAGCTTTTTATAGATTCTCTGTGGCTGGCGTGCACCTTCCGGAGAATCGGCAAAATCAGCTGGTGGTTTAACAATGTTTGCCGGAGCCTCTTCTTGTGCCAAAATTTCTGGTTTCGTGTCATCCACGGCCGCTATGATTTCCACCTCTTTTCCACAATGATGACAGTGTACCTAAACAAAAGAGAAAGTTTTAATCTTCAGTTGAACTATGTTCTTCTGATTTATTCACATCAACTTCGCTGTAAAACACGGAATCAGATCCAGGAGAAACCGATCGCAATGATTCGGTCGAAAGTGCTTTGAGCCGCTTTTCGGGCGATGGATCAGCTCGTTTTTTCGGTGACGATTTTTGTGATGGTGATAGATGTGCGTATTTGGACGGGATAGTTCTATTGTCGGATTTATCAACTGTAATATGCTCAGCTCCGCAGGCTACGGGTGTTCGCACTTTACGAGTTATCGGATCTTCATTTGGGTTTCGTACTCTGGGTGAACTGTAACAAAATGGTTAGAAATTTCATTAAATTCCAAATCACAATGAACTCAAATGCAGAATTGCTTTTCAATCTTAAAATAAGGAGAAAAGACACAGGAGCGCAAAAAATGAGTTCAATATTACCGTCGTGTTTTTGGTCTGATTCTCTTGGTTTTTGCTTGGGATGTGCCATCCAAAATGTGCAATGCGGTTCGATCGTCGGGCGAAATGCGTTTGAAACAAATCGGTTTTTTGGTTGGAGACGTCAATGATTTCATGTTCTCCTTCTCAATATCCAATCGCATTTTTTCTTTTCTTCGGCGTCGATCGTCTTCATTCCAGTCACGTTGTTTTCGCAAACGGCATGGTTCTGAAATGGAGATTCATTAACTATTAATACTGCTTATTTCAAATCCTGTTTGCTTTCACTATTGAAAAGTGAACACATTCTGAATAATCGTGTCGAACTGCGACACATATGCATACACTTAAAATGGACATTGTTAAACAATGATTTCAAATTTACCGTCATCATGTGGACTTTCATAGTACCCTGACGATGAGTATCGTTTCTCACTTTTTTCGTCGTCAGAAATGGATTCGGTGTTGGTTTTCGATGTCGTAGCAACGGGTTGTTGTGGCACAACGACGCTGCCTCGTGGTGATGTTGATTTAATCGCTTTTTTGCCATTGAAGTAACTTCCGGATGAGCTACTGCTGATGGAATGGGACGGAGAAGGCTTTCCAGATGGTTGCGGTGGCAAAGGTAAGGTATCCTCAACTGTTGTGGTTGGTGCATCTTCACAAATATTTTCTACTCTTGCCAAACTATAAATGGACGATGCACTTTCAAACGATGAACCATTCTGTGTTAATGTTTGCGAGCCTTGGGCAGCGACTACAACATAAAATACCAAACACAAAAATAATTATTTATCCAAGAGAAATGGAACATTGATTTGTCAATGACAAACGAATAGAAAATACAGGGACAAAACAAAAAACATCAAAATACAACATCGATCTCATCGCAATGAGATTCGAACCTGGCATTTGCGTTGTACATGTAGATGATGCGACAATACCTCGTTTCGATGCATCTGTGCATGTTATGTAGTCCTCAGTATTTGTACCACTACCTTCCGAAATGTCGGTTGCGGCAATTCTCCTTGGCTCTGAATGATGAATGAATGGTTGCTGATCCGACGATGATTTAACAATCGGAGCACTTCTCTGTAACTCATTCGTTCTAAGCATGCAAATGAAAATGAAAATGGATATGTAAATTTAATTCGAGTACTCGTTTCATAAAGCCAACTGAAATTGATTTCTTGCCGAAGCTCTAAACAACTCTTACATATTTGAATAGATGGGTTCGATTGGATCAGCACTTTTGCGACGAACATCACTTCGAATGGGGTCAACTTTAATCGTTGGCTTTTGGAACATGTCAACATCTTCGTTGTCCTCATCGTATTGAGTGGATGATGTTGAAGGAGTTACAGCAATCGATGGCATATGCAATGGCTTACGTAATGTATCAAATGATTGGCGTGATGGGCTCTGTGACTGCGGTATAGATGCAGATATCGTTGGCGTTTTTAGTTGCATATGAGACTGTTCAAATAAAAAAAATTTATGAAACTTTTCGTTCGTAAAGTGGTTGGTTGTGTCATGATTACCTGGTCATATGAATGGTCCTCGATATCAATGGCTTCGGTGTCCATTGAACTTCGTTGCTGATGCTGCAAAATAAGATTTTTCCGCTTTTCACTGGGTGTCAACAGGGCTTTTCCAGAATCAATTGCACTGCAAAACAACCAAACAATGAATTCACTTAATTCTTCAACTTGAACAGCAATACATACTTTGGATCGACTTGAAGAACAGTCACTTGCGATTCATTCCAATTGCCGTCGGAATGATCTCTGGTCAAATCATTTGCCAAAGAATCAGATGAAGGGAATGATATGTTTTTGTATTTATCAGTTGGCGATGTTGGTTTCGAATCACCAGATCTGTTACCAGCACTATCATTGTCATCGGGTACCGCTGATTGCTCTAAACTAATCGAACGATTGCGGAAGGCTTCACGCCGATTCTTTCCACTGGTCATTTTATCTTTGGGCAATTTCAAATAGTGTTCTTTATCGCAAACACTCTCATCTTTGATCGGAAACGGACTATACGAATAGCGTTCGTTGTCGTTGTCCGAAACTTTGAGCTCTTCTTCACTCGTTGATACCATTGGTACATCGTTGTGATTGATTTCACGTCGTTTTTCGCACATTATTTCACCTTCAGACCGAGTCTTTTGCAATCGCACATTGCGTCCATACGGACTCTGTGTCGGCGACATGCTTGGCTTAAAATCGATGAAAATTTCCTTTTCATCTCGCAAATTTTCTTCTTCGTCCTCCTCCTGCTCCTCCTGCTCCTCCTCCTCCCCTGAGTCGCACGTGGAGCAATACTCTTCGGTTTCAGATTCGACATCGTCGTCATCGTCATCGGATTGAGCTCGTGTGTAGAATACATTGACTGAATTCCGGCGCACAATCGATTGCAAATCTTCGAAATCGCTTTCATTCAAATGTCGCAACGTTTCGGGTATGGCACAAGAATACCGTCGTTTTGTATAGTCAACGCTTTGATTTGAACTGGCATTGCTATCGAGTGAAAATGTTCCGTGGACTCGAAACTGATTCAAACTGGCTTTGATTCGTTCGGTTGCATCATTGGTTGTTTCATTGCCATCGAAATCATATTGATTGGCATGTTTCCTTGGCAAACTGTTGGTTTGGTACTCAATCGCGTGGTAGAAACATTTTCGGCGCGGCAAACTATTCGAATTGTAGTGCAACTGTGTTGCTGTCTCCATGAAATCGATACAGCCAGTGGTATTCACCAAACCAGGGTCAATGAAATTGTTGTTCGACTGAAGTGCAGCAATATCATGTGAGTCTATCGAACGATCCGATATACCACTGGCTTGCGATAGATTCCGCGAATGGCCATGTGTGTGTTCAGACATGAAAATGTCACTTTTTGACGTTTCCAAATCACTCGGTTGGGAATACATGTCGAATGTGCTGAAAATCGATCGTTGTTGTTCGAGCAGTTCACGCGGAGAACGAGGCGGTTCCTCTGACTGAGTTCGATGCAGTAAATCATGATTTATGTAATTCGGAAACCTGTGCGCAAATAAACGTAATGATACATAAATATCGTTCCAAGAAAAAGGGTGAAAAAGGACATAAAAATTCACTCACGTATTTATCGACGGTTCGTCCTGAATCCGTCGAGTCATGGCTTCTGACAAACTTTTCGTTAGCTTGCGGCCAAGTATGTTTCCATTGATGCAAGTGCGATGTGCGCTTCGTGGACTCATCGACATGTTGCTGCTAAACGAAAGCTTTCGCGATGCAAACACATCCGTTTGCGTGGCCTGTGTTTTCTTCACATTACGCTTTAGCTTTTCAATCAACTCCGAATTGGTCTTCAGTTTTACCACATTCGTCAGTGGTAAAGCTGGACTATCCTGCAATTTCGGTTTCTCTTGAGCATATTGGTGACCATGATGTAATTGATGGTGATGTAAGTGCTCGGTTGAGCTTCTTGCTTTTTTGCCACCAATCAAACGCTCTTGACTTTTTGTTGTGCTCAATCGTGATACGGAACGGTCAACCGTTAGATCTTCAAATGAGGTCAGCGTATGCGAACGCGCAAAGCTCACATGCTTCGTTCTACGAATGGAAATCCATTTATCTCTCAATTTCATTTTAATCACCTTGATAATTTGATTGAGTATATACGGTGTTGCACATACCTTGGAGCAACGACAGAAACGCTGTCCGTTGACATCAAATTCGATGGTGTAGCTGATGTTGCAACTCCAACGTGCGATGGACAGCGATAACCTCTGTAGAAATGAAAAGAAAAATCGATAAATCCAAGGAAAATGAGATAAAAACGGAGCAAGCATATACAATACTAATAACAATGCGATAAAAAAAAAAAAACCAAAATACTGGCCACAATTTCGATTGTTCGTTATAACGAGAAAATGTTTCGAAAATAGAATTGAAAGCTCTAGATAAACCAATTTTATTAACAACATGACCCAAACAATATTTGTGAAAATGATGATAAGCGGATTATCAAACTTGTAAACAGCATTCATTTTTCAAATCGAAACGAAAAAGCATGTCAAACATTAACGGAAAACACATTTCGATACATTTTCGTCCATACCTTGTTACGTCTGCGATTGCGGCTTCTTGCTCCGCAGCCATCCATGTGAATCGTTTCGGATCGTTGCTGCAGAGAAAGGACGTTGGTCGACGGCGAAAGTGGAAATTTTCTATTTCATCTTCGTTCTGAATGATGTTTCTATTGTTGGTGCGCGGATATCTAAACGTTAAAGCGATATGTTCACAAAAATTGTATAATGTCATAGAAAATATAAATGATTGCATACTTTGGATACTTGTGGAACGGTGCATAATCAGCTAAATTTTCGTCAGACGGATGACGACGACCTACACAAACACTCAAAAAAGACTGTTGGTTACCCCGATTCGACCAACACCCGAAAAATCCATCTCGTCGTGGTTGCTCAACTGTGTTCAACTGCCGCTCCGATAAGCAATACTAAGGAAATACATTGGAAAGAGAACGAAGTCAAATGATTGAGTGCCGTGATGATGAGCAATGTCGTTAATAAATACTGATTCATGCTTGTCACACTCGACTGTAGCTCACCTGCTCTTGAATATCTGCCTTCGAGTATATGGATGGCTTTGGATATGGTGCTGACGGATTACGTCTTCTCCCCACATTTTCATCTTCCGAATCGTAGCTACGCGATGAAAAATGGCTATGCTAAAGGGGCCAATTGTTGGGAAGAGAAATGGTTTTCAGAATGTGTGAAATTTGTTTTCGTTTTTATCTCAAGTGGAAGCTTCTACCTTAGACGATGTTTCAATATTTCCAAGCGAATATGCATGCTGAAGACCTGAAGGATTAAATTGAAACGACAAATGGTTGAAATGCGAGACAAAGCTCGGTGGGTTTAGGAAAGTGATGTTGGGAAAAGCGAAATTTCAATCAGATTGTAATGATGGAATTCAACGCGATTTTTCTTCTTATTTTATAAAAAATTTTTTATTGAAATTCGATGAACATATTTTTTTTCCTCTTAAATCCAACTTCAACTTATGCTCTTAATTTGTTGAAATATTGAAGGACAACTATCGTCAAACCTTCGTTTTTTTCTATTAAATGCTCTCATATCATGGCAATATGTTCATCGATTATTCAATTAAAGCCATTAGTATACGTGAACAAATGGCCAACATTTCCCATAAATGGACCATAAAATTGCTTACCTCCGCTCTTCAATATTGTTGTCATTCTTAGTTAGTCGCCAAAAAGCACTGAAATAGAGAATCAATCGACGAATTGATGGAAATTCATTAGTCACGCATGTCAAACGAAAACACGTTCAACATTTTTATTTGTGGCACAAAATGTATGTCAGGTGATTCATGTGAGTGATAATTAAAGTAAGTGATTGGTATCAGTGACACATGCAACATATTTGTTCTACATAAAAATTGATTGCTAAACACTCGGCCATTCTGCGAACACTTACGCAACTTAATACAGTAAATTATGTTTCATCACTACAATATGCGAATGAAATTTTCTTCTATTTCAAAATTCGTTGTACGAAAATGTAATTTGCCGAAAAAAAGTGCTTCAAAAAATTCGTTTGTATTCCGGTTGGGCTTGTAATTACGAAAATTATTATATTCTAGACGGGAGGACACTGTTTTTTTTTTCTCCTTTTTCATTCGTTCACATCACAGTGACCTACAGACGTTCATTCACTTTGGCATATTTCTTATAACCATTCACAAGAAAGAAAATTCGTAAATTCGGTCAAACGGATCCGTTAATTATGAGCACCATCAAAAAATTATGTTTTTTTTTACAACTAAAATGCAATGAAATCGATTTTTTATTCTAAATGTGATGTTTTTTGAACAAAATAAAAATTAAAATGTAGACGAAAAATTCAGGACGTGTGGTCCATAGCGATGTGAAAAACAACTGATGGCTGAGCAAATCCAATAAACTGGGGCTCGACCTCCATAACGGGGAAATGTGGAATTGGCCGAAAGCTCGAATTGCGAAAATTTAAAATTGATTTTCCATCCCATTTAGAAGCAGTTCCGCGGTAATTTCCAGCTTGATTGGAATTTTCAGCTCGCACAACTCTCATACATTACTTTCATCAATTTTATCCTGATATTTTCCAATCAAAATACCATATTGAAATTAAAATGAGATTTTCGGCCAATTTTGCTAACCCCGTGGAGAGAAATGTGAAAAAAAAAAATGTTCAATCTGCTCATGTCAGAAGTTTCTATGGTAACCAGCATCTTTGACGTGCACACACTCACAGAATTTTAGCTTCATGACGTGCTTTTGCTTAGGTTTTCATTGATGAATTTCGCTTGGATCCATGTGGAAACGAAACGGAGGGGAACTCAAGCCACACGTTTCGAGATGCAGTAAACGACGGGGATTAGAACAGCTTTCGCGACACATGCGTACCCGCATACACCGCGGTGGAGAACTCGCATAACTTTGACAACGAAATATACGTTACACTTTAATGGCATGTACTTGAAAATGCAATAAATCTTCCAGTAATGTAATAGGTGTAACATAAAAACTGAAATCATTCTGCAATGGCATCCGAATTGGCAGTCTCTTTAAAGGGAATTTATAGAAACAAACAATGGCCATATTTCTAGTTAACGACAGATTTAGTATCAGTAGCACATTGACTCGCAGAGGTGTAAAGTTGCAAGATTTGTTGTGTCATTCAAATCATTAATCAAACGTTTGTTCTGTTGTTTGTGCGACATTATCGAGATTCCTCAACGGGAGGCTTTTTTTCAATTGAATTTGTTGCCATTCAGATTTTCGTCTTTCGCGAGTTTTATAGACCCAAGAGTATTGTGTGAAAATCTGTTTTTTCTACGTAGATACATCCAAAGTTGCACAAGTCTTTGATAAGAAAATGAGAATTTAAAATCACGATCTAGATAAGAAAAAAAGTTGTCTACAATGAAATAATCCAGCAAAGTATATTCAAAAAATTGTGCAATTTCACCGATAAATCTATTCGTTTTATCATCTATTCAAAAACATTTTAACCTTCATTCTGTATATCTTTCTCATTCATCACTTCGAATCCGAGTTTCACAAGCGGTGACACAACGAACTTTCAATAGATGTCGCCACAACCGTCCGTCTGTCATTGATGTTCGAATTTCGAAAAGTGTTTTGTAATCTTTCAAGGTTTGACCGAACGAGATGGCTATATGAGTGGAGAGTGTGCTGTACACTCACTGCGTCCGTCCAACCGATGAGTAATGAAAGGAAAAAAACAAAAACAACCTACCAACACACGCGCAACATCCAACATGTGAAACCCAATTTGAAAGTCAAATGGCTCGTGTGTCGATTTTCGAAGTAAGCAAAATGAAATTGTCAACGACAGCACACAGAGCGAAAAGTAACAGATTAGAGAGAAAACGTAGTCGTTTCGGGGTACTCGACGATTGTGTTGGCATTTGATTGCGTGTGTATGTGCATGTGCTTGTGCGAGAGAATGAATGTGTGTGATATTGACTGTACGCTGCTGCGCTAAACGATTGCCACAAGAGATATATGAACTTGTGAAATAAGCAATAGACAGATGATTCTTTGTTACGAACACACAATCAAACACACACTTAGATGCAACTCACTCACTCACTTCATAATACATTAACATGCCTTTGTTTTGTTGTATTCTCAATTTCGTGTTTCTCGCTCTCGAAACTTCAAATTTATAATTATAATTGTATGAAGAATTTTTTTTTTTTTTTGTATATTTGTGACGGAAGAGAGATTTTCTCTTTTTGTTTCATTTCGTTGTCGCCACACGGATTTACTTAGATTTTCTTTGTCACTGTCGAATGTACACACAAATTAATCGAAATTGTGCAAGGTTATAAATTAAGTGGTGAGAGTGCTTCACAGACCTAGCAATCGGATCATATTGCAAGTTTTTAGCTTCTGTCGTCTCAACTTGCTGTGACAATAATAAAGAGAAACACTCAAAGCCAACTCAGACACACAATACCTTCGATTTACGTAAAAGTGAAATAAATTTCAGCGGTGCTGATTGGAGAAATAAGAGAGAAAAAAAAAAACTAGTTCATCGCCCATATTTTTATACGGTAAACACATCATAATGGATATTGACGAGAATACGGGTCAAGGGACACCGCCATCACAGCCACCAACTGGTGATGTAGAACAATTTCTGCTACATCAATTCAGCCGAATGGGCACCACCGATCACGATGAGTTGGTCAATCAACTACAAAAGGTCCTAGGAAATCAATTGAACTACAACACAGCCCGTTTCTTCCTGGACATGAACAATTGGTATGTATGGTGATGGAATTTATGTGGCCATATTTTTGTAGCTATCGTTGTGGTTGTTGTTACCCATCGTAATTGTTTTTGTTTGTCATTTTTTTTCTTGCCTGTTTAAACACGTACGAACTTGGTCATTTGTGAGGTTATGTGGAAGTGTTTTTATTTTGAATTCTTTTTGTACTCATTTTTTTTTTTTGCTACGTGCTATGCATTACCTTTATGCATTGTTGTTGTTTGGTTTTGTTTCAAATCAAGTGGCAAATAAAACGATTTTGTTTATCTCTCTCTCAAAATCAATTGTCGATCGACGCGTTTGTTATATTTCCGCCTTTTTCACATTGTGTTTGTCGTTCAAGGTTCAGAGCGCAAGAAACGAAAGTTTCAATGTGCCTCATCGTTGGCAATATTATCACCGACTCATTTCGATGACAGCCAAATAGAACGATTTCTGTGTATCAAATACCGTTTTAAATGTGATTAACTCCTTCATGTACTTATGATACAGCAAAAATTATGATTAGCAATGCTTGAAACTGATAAGCAGTTTTTAATATATGATGGAAATTTGTTTTGATTTATTTGCAGGAACTTACAAGCGGCTGTCGGTTTCTATTTGGATTATTATTCGGGCATGAAACTGCCGTCAATGCAAATCATATCGGACGTTACGATAGGCGAGGGTGAAGCCGTCACTCCGAACACACCGTAAGAGAATAAATTGACAACCAATTTCTGTGCCATTTTGCCCTTTTGATGATAACCTTTCGCCAAATGTTGGTGTCAAATACTGAATGTGTGCTCATATATTTTGTAGGTTTGTGCAATCGTGGAGCGTTCGCAACAATGGTGAAGAACCGTGGCCATACAATTGTTATATAAAAAGTACATCGAACGAAAATCTGCCGGTCGTTCCCGTTTCTCCTGTTGAACCCGGCCAGTGTACAGTCATCTCAGTGAATTTACAAAGCCCCGCCGAGCTCGGTAGCTTTCAAACTAAATGGCGGTTATTCACATCGAATGGTTCCTGCTTCGGTGGTACGTTATCATGCAATTCATCAAAACAATGCGATTTGTTCAGAGTTCTGACTTCTCTGAAACTAATCTTTGTACTTAACACCGCAATGCTTCATTTGGCAATCGATTTCAAACCGTTTGGATTGTTTGTCAACAAACACGTTTCTGATTTCAATAAACTAATTCCTTTGTTGGTTGATCTTTTTTTTGCAGACACAATGTGGTCAATAGTTCAAGTGACTGAAAGTGGTACATTGGCCTTAACACAACAGCTATCCGAACTGCATACGAATAACTCAGCTGAAATTCCAATGTCCAAACCTACGCTAGAGGTAAACATTTGACAACCATTTTACGAAATTAATTCACACATTAAAATGGAATGCTTTTCTCTTTTTCCAATTTGTAGGGTCCACAATCCCAGATCGATGATTGTGATATGTGATGATAAGTTCGTTCGTTGCCACATCGTTTTTATATCAACTTTGCCTCCTTTCATTCGTTAAAAATTACTGTGTGCGAAACAAACAAAATGTAATATATGCTATTGCGGTTTAGTCTTTAAGGGAATAGAATTATACATACAGATATACTATATAATGTGTGGATGCATTGCGTCAGGAGAGAAACAGAAAAAAAAACTCATGCGAATTATAAACTATTGGATCTATGTGTCTAAATATAGGAGGACGAGGTGAATGGCTACACAAAGAATATTCAAAATTTTACAACAAAAATTTAACGTCGAACATGAATGATTTACTGAACTATTATCATTCCTTTCCGATTCACACACACACACACACTGTTCGAACATCGTGGCATTTCAATTTTTTCTAATTGTCAGGCCGAACAATACGAATTTGTTCACCGGTTTTCATTTGCTTTAGCTTGTTTTTCTTTTCTAACCGTGTAGAATTCACTGTCTTATGAATGTTGGACTTGAGTTGTACACGCACTCACATTGTCTTTTACAGTCAAAGATGAAGAGATCTTAAAATTACAAGTTCCATTTTGAATGTTAGTTTTTAATTGAGCAGTTGATCGCGCACATTGGATCATCTATGTATCCAATACATGGATAAACAGAAACAAATGTGCTTACCAATCAAATTAGTACACACAAAAACGAATGTCGTAGCAAGTATGATCATTATGAGTAGTTGTAAATCAAGCGTATTCAGAGTAAATATATATATTGATTATTATGATTAAGTGCGCAAATGAAAGAAAATGCAGAACAAACAAAAAAATCTGAGAAAAAAAAAACACAATTATGTCACTTTCTTTCTTTTTATCATGTTTTGAACAAATTGATTATTATCCATTTTCTTAATTACTAAAATTAATATATATATGAAAAATGGTATAGGATTAAGTCGAAAACAAATACATTTGAAAATAGAAATTTCCATTAAAAAGAAAATACGTTGCGTTAAAATTACTTACGTTGTGTTTTATTCGCTCATATACTTTGCTCTTGATTTATGTGTATGTCCTTGTGCCGAGTATTTTCCGGTCATTTCATGCTTCCATATTTTATTGCAGTTGACAGACTAAGCGAAGGAGAGAAAGAGAAAGTCGGAGATAGAAAGGGAGAGAACAGTTGGAACTTTTGCCAATTGTGCAGCATGCCTTCATAAAGACCAACAACAAAAGGAATACATGAAGTGAAAGACAAATGATGCACTGTACTTTTTATTCTAGATAGATAAATTTTATTGTCATTTATCGCATTTTTTCCGTTCATGTATATATCATTATTGTAACTTATATTGAAAGAAATCATTTAAACTTGTTGCTCAATTGTACATTAAGTACTAAAATGATGATTTTGCGAATAGAAAGATAAACAAACACATTTTTTTTTCTTCTGTGGATACATATATAGCGGACTTTGATTCTACAGCTTCTATTTATTAACCTATGTTAAACAGAACCGAATCAAGTAGTATAATTATCCTCTCCATTTAACTTAAACTTTTCTTAATTAATGTTTTAAATAATTCATGATGTGCTTGAGGGCGGGCTGGCTGGTTGACTGGCTGGCTACATTTGCACACACACACAGCGCCTAGTTATTGTATTTAGCTTTATTTTTCTTGTCTTTTGTTGATTGGGTCATAGTCACAACAACACACATATATACTTTATACTGAGCTGCAAATTTTCGTTGTTTTTTTTTTTTTTTTTTAATTTTTGGTTTTATCAGAGGAGATGTGATGCCATTTTGGAATTTATAAGCATGAGTGCTCGAAAACGAATGAAAAAATGAAACAGAAACGTGTATATTTTTGGATTAAGAGAAAACAGGGGGAGCGTCTAAAATGCTCAGAGTAATAAAAATTTAAAAGTTAAAATTCTGTATGCTTTCGGATTAAAATAATGGTGCTTATTAATCGGTGAAAATAGCTGCGAAGGGCATTTTTAAGCCTTTGCCATCATCGGTTTTCGTCGTTCGATTCGTACTTGGAATCCTTCTTCACGCTTCAATATAATATCGGCTTGTAATTTGAAATCGTCTTCCTTCAAATCCGAATGGATGCGATAGTTTCGTAGAATGGTCGAAAGTAAAACCTTCAATTTTAACATTGCATATTTACGACCTGAAAAATGAAGTGTACCGAAAGAGAGGATATGAACAAAACAGAAACAGAAGCAGAAAAAATAAAACGAGAGAACAAAACCATAAGTCAAAATGATACACCCGAAATTTGTAATTCCAATGCATAATTGATGCATTTACTGGCTGAAATTTTCATGAATATCAAATATGTATGAGTCGCTTACCGACACAGCTTCGTGGGCCAGCCGAGAATGGAATGAACGCGTAGTAGTGACGATTGGCCTGTCGTTCCGGCAAGAAGTTGTCTGGATTAAACTTCTCTGGGTTTGGATAGATGTTTTTGTCACGGTGCAACAGGAATGTTGTGACAACAACTGTAGCGCCAGCTGGAACTGTGTATTTGCCACTGGTCAATTTCAAGTTTTCCTTTAATTCACGAGCAATAATCGGCACCGGTGGAAACATTCGTAGCGTTTCCATCAAACAACGTTCCAAATATTTCATTTCGAGAGTGTCTTGGAATGTGGCCGGACGATCCGAATCGCCGAAAATGTCGTTAAGCTCTTGAACCACTTTCTCTTGAATGTCCTGGTGGATGCCCATCATTGACAAGAAGAATGAACTGGCGGCGGCGGTTGTATCGTGTCCCTCAAACATAATGGTATCGACCTGTTCCTTAATCTCTTTGTCGGTGATGAGTGCACCGTTTTGTGCGCTTTCCAACAACAAATCCAAGAATGCCAAACGCTTCTTCTCTCCAACATCGTCAGTCTCATTATCAACATCTAAATCGTCTTTCAAACCGGACGATTGTCCAAATGATAATCCTTCAACGGTTGTCGTTGAACGGGGTACATCGATGCCAGTAACGTTGGTGTTGATTTCGGTGCTTGCCAGTGAACCTCGTGCTCCCAATTTGAATGCATTCTTTTTGTTTCGGATAACCTTCATGGTGAGACCGTGAATGGTGCCGAGTAATTTGATTTGCTGTTTAGCCAAATTGGTCAAATTGAAAATCCAGTTAGCACGCAGCCACAAGCTACGATGGCGAGCGTGCAAAATGTCGCACATCTTCATGACAGCCACTAGGAAAAAAAAGGCAGATCGAATCAAAATCAAAAAAAAAAACGCATAAAAGGGTTGTATTGCTTGCGCATAGACGTACAACTGTGTGTATAAAATATAATTAGATTGTGAGATAGATAACCAAAATAACATACTTGCATAGTCGTATCCGGATTGACCTTGGGTCTTTTTCGATACACCCATGGCGGTTTCTGTTGGATAGAAAGAAAAATGAAGGAAACGAGAGGGGAAAAAGAGAAAAAACATTAATTCACAAGTTTTAATGGTGTTAAATAAATCTTCCATCACAGTTAAAATTGATTGATCGATTGGTGGACCCAATTTGATGCGCATTCTCGATTGCAGTTAAGCAAGAAAAGCATCAAGGAGAAAAATGATGTGTATAGTAGAATTGGTAATGAATATATGAAGTAAATAGCTAAATCGCGTTTAAATAAAACCAAACGATGCGGCACCGATGAATCGTTTGAGCAAGAGCCGAGTGTGTGTGTGTGTGTGTGTGTGTGTTCGTTGTGCATTTTTCATAGAATGTACGATGTGCATACACCGCCTTATCAGTCAGTATCGTTTATAAGCACATAAAATAGAGACTATTTTCTGCCTATGCCATATAACGTGCCACATACACGTTTGATATATGCGAATAATATGCTCGCTACTTTTTCTTTTCTTTCTTTTTATTTTTGCAATCGCACCAAATTATGTGTAACAGTAGCGCGTTTGAGTTGTATTATATAATATTGGTATTTGATATGTGTTCATAATAATTTAGTACGTTTTTCTGCATACATGTGCTCCCATTGCTCCCATACCGCAGTGAATGTGCCTCCATGAATAAATACATGATCATTTGCAAACGAAAAAAAAAACACCGAAATAAAGTTGCACCGCAGCACCACATACGTGCGCACATACACACACACACACACACACGTCGCGCGCGAGATGTTAGAAAACCACTTTCTCTATAAACTGGAGAATGTGAGATAATACTTTTGATCGATACTTTTTTCATCATCGCATTTTCTTTTAAATTCTACTGTGTGTTCGTTACACAACTGTTCGATGAGACAGCTTATGCTGAGTGCTAGTATGCTGCTGCATACGTGCTGCTTTGGTTCACATACTATGAATGTGTGTACATCGCAAAATTTTTATGCTGCTCTGTTTGCTTTTTGTGACTCAGTTACCCAGTTTTGTTATTTATTTAATATTTCTTGATTATTTTCATTTCGTTGTTGTTTTTTGCTACTTTCGAGTAACAAATAAAAATGAAGCAATACTGCAATTATGCACTGTTGTCGTTCGGAATCGTGTAATAATAACACTTGGTGCAGTAATGCTTTTTATCATTTGCGTTTACTAATGTCGTCAGCAATAAAAGTCAGAAAACCAGAAATGATAGTTCACCGTCGTCACCGTCGTTCAACCCGATGTGTGTGTATGTGCGTTTCTGATATAGATGATATTGCGGTGAAAGGAATACGAATGATATCATTAAAGATTAAAATATTCTAAAATTTTTAATGCCCTATTTGCATACGGTGATCAACGTGAGTGCCTCTGGCATTTTCCGCATTAGACGGGATTGAATGCATTTACACATTGCAATGCTCGCGCAAAATGCTTACTTAAAATTTATTTTAGTTGACAAGTTGACGGTGAATGACAAGTCAAACTAGTTTCAACAAATTATTTATGATTCAGTCACCCTCACATCATATGCGTAGTTGCGGTAGAGGAAAATTGTGTCGTTTCAATTTTCATCTATTTAAACATAAATTTCATCGATTTGTTTGACTTCGGCATGCATCTAGAACCGGTGATTTGTGTTCACTCTCTCGCTCTCTTTGTATGTCTCCGACGGCAATTTAGACTTATATTTCCACAAAATAATAGAGCACACATACACACATTAACATCGTTATGAAAAGATTAGGAACGACAATTTTGACTTAAAGAGATCCGTCGTCGTGGTCGTAGTCGTCTCCGTAGAAAACGGAGAACACAATTCGAAATTTACAACTGGCCACTATTTTGCTAAATTGCTTTCTTGGCATAGACATACAGTTGATTGGATAATTGGCCAGCATTGCGGACTTTTATGCAATGTTCTCGTTAGCTTGAGTCCAATAGCATGCAACAACGCCTCACTATGTGCAGCGAACAATTCACTTTTCGATGCGATGCGATAAATACAAACATTCATCATATGATGCAGTTGACGCGGCCTAGTCTAGAGACCGAATGACTTTTCTTCTTCTTCTTCTTCGTTGTGGGGTCTGTCGCATTATTTGCAAGTGGACCGATATGCTTCATATTTTGAAGTTATTTAATCGCTATGTAGAGTGGGAAGATGAATATCAATTGAGGGAACATGCATCAATTGAAAATGTGTTGTGCATGAGTGCTGTATCGAGGCAGGTGGACGCGAGCGCGCGCACATACTCCTCTATGGACGAACCATTTTAAACTTGTGTGTTTCTATTCTCGGTGTCTTTTTTTCTTGTTCAATGCATTGGAAATACCAGAGTAGCCACAGCAATGGATATGAGAGGGATGTATTAGATAATAGACCAAGCACAACAAACACAGAGCTAATGTCGACGTCATGCGTACATTGAAATTACCAATGCGAGTAACACCTCTAATAATGTGCATTCAAACAGGGTACTTCATTATCACTTTGCATGAATTCTCTTGGCAATTTTGAGCAAAACCGCAGTGAAATGCGGCACAGCATTGGGAATAGTGGTACACCGGTACACCTTGTAAGTTGTCGGTGGAATTGTACAATATATAAATAAAATAAAATAAAATATTCCACAATTTGTCTTCGGCCGATAGTTAAAGCGTGTGGAAAATTACCAAAAGTAAATTTTAGCTCACAGCAAAACAGTCGTGTTGAACAACATTTCGAACGAGAGAGTTACCTAATCAATTTGTGTGTGGGCAAAGCAAATGAATTTCATAAACATTCAAACGAAATTTCGTTAGCAACACAGCGGCACAGCCAACGCTCAATGGTGGAATGCCAAACAATAAAGGAGTTAAATTTACACATCTGGATTTTTCATATTATTCTCCTTCTTTTGACTGATTGTGCACCACCCGTTCCCCTTGCCATGCACAATTGTGAGCTCCTTTCCGAGTGAAATTCCATAGTGAAACGGAAGACATAATCGGAACACAATTATGCATCACCGCAGGAGACAAAACGATTCAAGTAAGCGAAAGGAAGTGAACGAAATCAGAGTTCGGATGAAGATGTTGTAGTGAATTGTGATAAATGAAAAGCGCATAAATTTTCTTACCCAATAGAATCTCGACGGTGGCTTCGCTCATGTAATCGTGAGCATCGAATGTTTTGCCTAGTTCCAAATTCAATTTTTTAATGACTTGACGCGAATTTTCGTTGAATAAATCGATGAAGCCCTTCAACACATTTAAATGGAATGTCGGCGCGATAAGTTTGCGGTGCGAACGCCATTTATGACCTGATAACGGGAAAAACCAAATTACATTCAATCGTAAATTGAACGGTGACGGTGAATAAAAATGCGAAAATGAAAAATGCGTCCCTCTTGCAAAACGTGCTGCTGCTGCTGCTGCTGCGATATATGCGTAGCTCTCGCATACTTGCACAGGCACACAAACACGCAAAGAAAGAGAGTACTAAATCGAGGCTTACCTGTACTGATGAGGAGCCCATCGCCCAACCACGGCTTGAAAAAATCGTATTCCGCCGATTTATCAATGTACACATGACTGCTGAGTATCAATTCAACATCAGCCGGATTAAACAGGAACACAATCAATTTTGGTCCAATCCAAAGTTTGGCCACCGAATTGAAATCATATGTAACGGCCTTCTCCAAAATGGTCCGGAAAACGTCTGACATAGAAAATGAACGCATTGAAATGCAAAGTAAGTACAAACGAACGAACAAATGAATGAATGGACGAAAAAAAAAAAAAAAGAACGGCAGTTGCGAAGCACAGAACTCCAATGTGATTAAATGTACATTTTCGTTGTTCTTATTTGGTTTCATACCGACAGAGACACGATTCACGCTTGTCGCACGGCATCAACTCGAGCTCACAGCCACTCGATTGTGAGCTCGAGTCGTTTGGTTCATCCGCGTGCACTACATACCGAATATTTATTTGAATAAACCGTAATTGAAAAATATGAACAAAAAACGGGAAGTAAAGGCTATTTGCTTGATTAACAGCATAAATGGTTTATGTGAGAATTTTGTTTGATTAGCGGTCGGTGATTTTACGCAAGTGTGCAGTCGCGCTTTGATTTGATTCAAAAATAGAATATAGCGTGAATGGATCACACAATATGGGCTTTAATTCCGTTTAACAAATCGCTCGCTACGTAGAAAAGCGGATCCGGTGACCTTTGGTCGTGAAGGAAAACTGTGATTCCGCGATTTGACAATGAGGCGAATTTCAAGCAAAATCAACTATGAACAATCGTTTGACACTTTCTGTTTTTTTTTTCACCACATTGAAACCATAGAGTAGTAATTCAATTCAAAGTTACAGGAATTTTAAGAAAAAGAAAACATTCAATTCAAAAATGGTATTTTTGTCTTTCTTTCCCGGAACAATCGATCTTTTGAACAAATTGACTACGTAACGGTGTACATTAATCATAGAGTCAATTATAAACACATTTCGATTCACAAACGAGCTATTTTAATCTTTTAATTACGATTTCAGATGAAACCAAAACCACTTTGTCGAGAGATAGAAATAAAAATAATAGGTTAGTATGTAGAAGGCTATACTTACTGTGCGATGATCCCATTAAATCGAACAAATTGCCAATAATCGGGTATCCAGGCGGTCCTGGAATATTTGCAGCGTGTTTGTTCAAATTCCGGCGAGAAAGCTTAAAATATATCAACCAGAGAACAAACAACGGCACTAGCAAAAAGTAGAACATTTGGCTGGATGCCATGTTACTTGCAGATGGTCCCAAATCCGATGCTACACGTCCTGCCATTGTTTCCGTTTCTTATCTTTTCTTATACTTTTGGAAATTCAATTTACTCGACTTTTTTTCTAAATGGATTTTATCTTTCGCACAAAATCGCTTCCGTATTTAAACTTGAACCTAAGACGATCAAAAAGCTATACTTAAATACTGAAAAAGGTTGCTTTTTAATTCGTTTTGCACTGAACAAAAGAACCGAAGAAGTAAACTTTTCTCGTTGGAAATGCTACGTGTCGTTTTAAATTTTTACTTAAGTAAATCGTGACGATTCCACCGAATAATCGCCACCAATGAATTCGTTCAACAAATGAAAAAAAAAAAATTGAATTTTCCGCTTTGAGTGTTACGCGCTCGCGCCGTGTACTGTACTCACTTAAAACTAAATGGATGATTGCACTCACCACTAACTTATATAGTTTATGTCCACCATAAATTATACACAGCCACTAATACGTGCAAATCGTCACAACGGTCGCAAAAATAGAAATATTATATCGAAATATGTATGACGCATGTAACTACTGGTACTTGTTCATATGCATATACAAAGATTGTGTGCCCCAACTGCACACACAATTGCAAGGCAGCAAACGCGTACGACAATAAGGCCCAATGCAAACCAATTGAAATCGATAGTAATATGTGCAGTGGTCGATTAAAAAGACACAACCGTAGTGTTGGTAGTTTGAATTCGGCATTAGTTGAAAAGAACCAAACGAATTATTCAACGTCACACAGTGTGGCAGTGTGTGAAATATTCGGTGGTAAAACGATTTCATGTCGAAGCTTAACTTAGATAAGAGCGAGAGAGAGAGAGAGAGAGAGAGAGAGAGCTTTGATTTCGTTACATGTGGTATCAAAATAATTGGTGTTACGTTACTCCAAATGCTCTCTCTGTGTGTTCGGTATATGCTTGCTACTACTACTTCTACTGTATTCCGCTTGGCACGGCATACAGCTCGAATTGACTCACGATGAACTACGAAAGTAAGTTTCGTGAAGTTTTCCAATCAACTTTTCGGTTGCACATCTCCAGTTTTTCTCAAGAAGAGGAAAAAGGAATCGAACGCAATTCAGATCAATGAATCGATAATTCCGAACATTGTTGAACGAATTGAGTTGCCATGTCTTAATGTACTGTACACACCACGATTTGCTTGCTCGTTATGCTTCGACTTGAACTCTTCATTGAAATATTCAGTGGAAAAGTAATTCGCAAGTCAATCACACAAGCCAAGTCAGATTTCAATTTTTACGCATTAGTTTCTCATTCAACCTACGAACCAACCGCATATTCCATTCACAACGGATGGTTGGTTGATGTGATTTTTTCAGAAATTGTGCTATACCAAAATTTGATGTCAGCACTTTGAATAAGTGAATCCATCAATCAATCAGGATAATTATCAAAACGGGGCTGTTTTGCTCCAGATTGTCAAGGGATGATCGAACAAAAGAATTTCTGAATATGTTTCTCTTTGGAAGAAGAGGCTGGAAAGCAAACAAGTAATAAGCACGCGTGTTTGCTTGTGTTGAGCTCATTTTCACCCGTCACATTCGTAATCACCAAAGTGATTTCACGCGCAACGTTTCTTTTTCAACGGTGAAACATCTCCTCAAATAGCTGTCGGCAATAAAAATCATCAGATTACGATATAAAATGTGAACAATTGATATGTTTATTTTCTCTTTAACAGATTATAGAAGCGGCCGTGATTTGATGTCAGTCGGCCATGTATTTAGCATATATATATATTCGACAAATCATTCAGCAAGGAAGAAAGAAAACAGATAGGGAAAGACAAGATGTCAAACGATCTTGTACACACAATGCACAAATTAAAATATAAATTCTTGGAATAAATTTTCTATAAATACATCGCAGTCAATATAATCGAATTAGCACATAAACGGGTTGTGATGGTGGCGTATTGTTTAAATGATAAAACATCGAGGAGAACAACGATCTGACCAGATTGAATCGATTTGCATCGAATCAACAATCAATCGCTTCGAGTAACTCACACTCACTCACTCTATGCGGTGTAGTAAGTAGTCTAATCCTGTTTTTCGATTAATTAATTTCGCCGAAGATGTGTTTAAACTGCTGACGTATGCATTTCAAATGAATGTACGCGCTCCAAATAACCGACATTCACTTTGTTCAGTCATTTTCATATAAATGCATACTACACACTTGTTGTTGTAATTATCATCGATTTAATACGAATTATTGCTCGAATTGGCTCATTTACATTGCAAATGTGCAATTTTTATTTTTTTTTTTCTACATGCGCGCGCGTCGTTGTTATGATGTAGACAGTGTCATCATCGGGCTCGGTTCATTGGCTTGGGCATATTTAATTCCAGAATGAATAATTCCCTTTTGTTCTGATTTGTTAGTTTTTGAAGCGATTAGTAAATTGGCAAAAAAGTTGCTGTTTAGCGCTCATCAAAAAATTGTACCGAACTCATTATCGGTTCAATGCCATTCATTCGAAATTGGTCGAAGAAAAATAATAATGCGACAGCCTAGATTCGTAAAAAAAAATGCGCAAATTCATTGACGAAAGGTTGCGCTCGACCTGATTTCGCTAATGTTCTATTTCCTATTTTCTATTTAGATTAAATCGAAATACCTTCGTTCTTGTTAAAACATCGTTCGCCGTTGATCCGATCCATGTGTTCACTTCATCTATTTGCCGAAAATGTTTTTCAATTAAGTCGAAGGGTTTCGCAATCGAACCTGATAAAAAGTTTGTGCAAATGTTTGAATAAATTGATTCCGAATGAACAGATCGGAACCGAATATGGATGGGTGAAACGAGGGAGGGGTAAAAAAGTAAATTTTTGCCTACAGCCAACAAATTTCGTAAAACCAAAATCGAACCGATGGAATCAGAAAGAAAAAAACTTTTGAAAAAAAAGCAAACGAAATGGTCAACATTTTCATTAAAATTAGCACAATCTGTGTATTTATATCAATAACCGTATATAGCTGTCTCAGCACATTTTTTTGTCGATTTTTTTTTTCTTGTTGCTTTTATTGTTCGACCCAATCTTCTAACTCAGAGCTCGAAGCCAGCTCAATTTTTCCTCTTCTCCGCTTGCTCTCAAATATTATTATTGTACCAAATAGACCCAAACACATAACGTTTCCATTGAATATAGTATATGAATTGGGTTTGAATGGGCAATATGTTTCTTTGGAAATACTAATATTACGTTACTGTTTTTATACGCATACAAAATGAAATGGATGGTGTTCAAGTCTTCAGCATGCTTGAATTGATTGCCTCTCACTCTCACTCTAACTCTTTCCTTTCGCTCGGTTCGTTTTGAGTTTTGCCAAAGCCGAACTTCGAATGTGAATGGGAAACACAGATCCACACTCTTTATTCAAATACTACGTACGCGAATGCTATGCTATGCGATGTTTGTTTGCGACGACGATGCACAACCGGAAATAGCAATGTTTCAATGTTATCACAGTGGTTATGCTTGTAATTTGTTCATACCGCCGGAATAATATAACACTGATCTTTATACGTATGCTACATGTAATTTCCGTACTTCATCAATGCAATAGTTGTTGGCAAATCTTCCATTCATTACATGTTTGACTAGATTCTAGTCACTAGAAGAACCTAATTAACCGGAAAGTCAATGCTTCGGGAAAAACACACACACATACACACCAACCAAAGGATATTTTTCTTCAGTTCGGTGTCCTCATAACTTGATTTGACCATTACAACTCTGATAATACGCACAAGCAGATGCCAGATATACGCTTATAACTTGGCATTTCCGCTAACGATGTACGTGAGCAAGTGGCCGAGTGAGAGGGAGATAGCGTTTGTAAGCGAAAGGTAAAATCGATAAAGGTCAAGCACATTTGTGTGTCGCATTTTTTTTTTTGTTGGACCGATTAATATTGACCGGCAATTTTTCCATTTACTAACCAACATTTATCAACATTGTTTTTGCTTTAATTCTGCACTCGAATTTTTGCCAAATTAATCAATTTAATGCATACGACTAAATTGTCAACTCAACAATAAAAAAAAAATGAGAGAGAAAAAAGAAAAACAACAAAAATGCAAATAATTGACGTGATTAACGTTTGTGTATTTAATTAAATTAATTTTGATTTGTTTGATTTGTTTGATGTTTGTTGAGTAAGTTATGTTGCTTTGATGGTGATGATGATGATGATGATAGTTTGTCAGCCAAAAACAACGGGAAAAAAAATGCCGCTCATTTATTATTGACAAAACATTTGATAAAAACTCCCAAATACGAAGAATAACTGGCTTCTTCGAATACATTTGTAGCGGAAGCGTATAGACAGACCAAACGAACGGAATTTCAAAGAAGGCAAAACACGTAAATACTAAACCAGATATTTCACTTGAATCCATCAAAAGCGTGTTATCCAAATAGAGACACATATTCGAAACACACCGCAAAAGAAAAAAAAAATGGTATGTGAGATAGCACACGAACTAATGAACGAAAAGAATGGAAGCAACAACAACTAACTCAAAAATAAAATGCCAGAAATGAAGTAAATTCCGTCATGATAATGACGTACATTTATTTTTTTTTTTCCTTTCTTTTAGGAAAATTACATTGGGAATATGAAACAAAGTAGACATAAGTCATGGTCTAGCAAGATTAACCTGCTGTAAGTATTATTCCATAAACGAAATAAGCGTACAGAACTAAAGCATTAAAACTATATAATTGGAATCAATTAGCAACAGATCGAAAGCATAAAAATGGGTAATTGAATCGATTATTCACAGTGTACATTAGAATGTGTTATAGAGACGTTTGTCTACAAACAAAAAACCGAACACGCACACACAACAAAAGATAAAGAAACGGCAATTTATTGCGGCTAACCGACTAGCATATGTAAATTGTGAAATGAAATATGCTGAAGTATTAACACGTGTTACGAATAATTTATGTAAAAGTCTGATACAAATAATGTTTGAACGATACAAATGACTAGACTGGTATACTCGTAAACTACAATAGAAATGTTGAATGCGATTACATTTTTCAAAAAATCTCTTAAGATCGAATCATTATAGTTCTAGCAACATCACATCGCATCGCATCGCTATGGTAATTATTTTTCTGTTCTTTATTGAAGTTTTTGTTTTTTTTTTGTTTGTATTTGGTGTTTTTTCCCACCGAATTCCGATTGTGTCGTTTATAAATAACGCTCATTGAGTAGGGCTTTGACAACATATATAGATTTTCTCTCTTCACAATTTATAATAATAACACATTTTGGACGTTGTGCTATAGTAGCGAGTGCGATCCATTGGCCTTATACCGACGACTCATAGATAACGATTTGAATAATATTGTGTTTGTTTTTGATTTGTGATTTTTTCACTTCTTCCATAATAGCACCCGTGATTGCAGCCAACGCAGCGATTTCTTGGTCGTTGTCAGCGTCATCTTTTTTATGAGGACTAGCGCCTGAAATAGCTCCTCGTCGCGAAACCTGTTTTTAATAAATTCCGTATAAAAGCAAAGACAGAGATGTTCAGGAAGTGAGAGACAGAGGGAGAGAGAGAGAGAGAGAGAGAGAGAGAGAGAGCGAATGGGAGAAAAGAAAATAATTTGCGCTTCGCGCAAATTTCAAATCAAACAAAGGAATTTTATTTGCAATTCAAACTAAGTGCTAGCACGTACCGTTAGAACGCGTCGTATATCATTTTGAAGTGCTGATACATCCAGTCCGCCACCACCTAATTGCATGCGACGCAAAGTGTCAGCAAAAGAAAGGTCTTGAATTCGTTGCCAACTTTCTGCATACTGTCGTCGCACCAATTCAATAATGGTACTGGTTAATGCCAAACCGACGAGAATATAGACAGTACACCATAGCATATAAGTTGGATTTTCTGCAGACGGTAGAAGATGGAGGGAGGTAGCGAGAGAACGCGCGCGCGCGCGACCGTGGTAAGGGCAATGTGAATAACAAAAACGGGAAAATAGAGCACATTGAATATCCCATAAAAAGCGGAAAAGCACGCGGAAAACAATTAAATGTTTTAACGCCCGCCTTCTATCTGCGAACGCTTTGATAAATAACTGAATCACATGTGATGAAAATAACTACTTCTCTTTTTGTTCTCATCATTCAGTTCAGTTTAGTACGATTTTTGTATGTTCTAGGACGATTTTAGTTTGTTTTTTTGCAAACTTACCTGGGAAAAGATCTCCAAAGCCTATGGTTGTCATCTAAAATAAAGTAAATTACAAAGCAGTTGAAGAATTGGTATTTTAAATTGTAAAAAATTTCATTTTTTCTCCACAAAATGGAACCATATCAACCGTTATGAAACAGAAGTAGAATCCCTCGAAGAAGCCCCAATCCTTTTCCCACACCAGCAGAATAGCAGCACCAATTCCAAGATATATGCCCAAGAAACACACAGAAGCCAGCGCGTACAACCATTTTTTATTTGATGATGTCGAGTCCGATGCTATTTTGAAGCATTCTATGGTGGGAAAATAAATGCGAAACGATTTACATTCAAATCGTGATTTAAATTAGATTTAAATGGTTGCCGCTTATGATTGCGGCTAAAAGTCATTTTGTGGGAGTGCAAATGGTACTATAATGTGCTAATGAGAGGAATACTTCGACAATTTCACTTATTATTATGATGATAAGCTTACATTTTGTGGCAATGGCAATTTGGTAAATTTTGGTTGGTTGATTTTGGTACGTTCACGCAGCATTCAAATTCAAATTCAAAACAAAGTGTGTGTGCATATGTGTAGCGGTTAAAATTGTTCCCATGTTGATTAGCCGGAAAAAAAATGAGTGAAAGCCAAAAAATCGGTTTTAATTAGGCAGTTCGTTAAATTTCGATCAATTTTGTTCAACGATGCGATGTCGTTTTGGTTGTTCATGATTGTTTTTTTTTTCTCTCGTCAGATTGTATATAGGTGTTTGTATGTGTGTGTTTGATGTGGTGTGGCATGTTTGTAGTAATGTAAGTATCAAAACCACAATAAAGGAGCAAAAACCGTAAACAATAAACCAACCGGTCGAGTGAAGAGGAAACCCATTTGTATGAAAACACGAAAAAGGTTAGTAGCCATAAAATGCAGAGAAAGAAAATGCAAAACCGACCGAAAAAAAAATGTGAAAAAAAAGAAATTTCAACAAAATGAAGCGATGTGAATAAACTTAACTTACTTGTCAGTGATGGGAGTTTTTTCCCGACGGCTGAAACGGCCGTCGCAAAAACCCGACCAAGATCTGCGATGACCGTGAGTGTGAAAGGTATTCCGATCAATGCAAATCCTTAGAAGTTAAAAAAAAACAATAGCCAAAGCGTTCATAAAATGCATCTTAACTGGTACGAGGGGCTTACATACCCATGCAAAATGCTCTTCCAGCTTGTGTGATAGGCGCCACATTGCCGTACCCTGAAACAACCAGTATAATGGTGAAATATCGGAAAAATCAACAATCAAACCCGTTAGAACAATGGCCTAACACGTCAGTCGCACGACTGTGCATGCTGAGCGTGTAAGTGTGTTCAACTCGAGATACGAAAATTCACATGGATTTGGTGCTAATACACAAATCCACATAAATACTCAATTAATTGGAACTCAACTAGAAATTCAATGTTCTTTGTTCCTATTTGCAGGGAATTATTTGATTTTATCAATTGTGATGAGACGAATTCTCATTTGAGTCACCCGAATAACATGGCTTGAAGCAACCGAGTGTGTTGTCTCTTGACTGAATGATGCGAATACGTCTCAAGTTGCGAGCGCGTTGACAGGATTGAGTTATTTTTGTCAATGGACGGATTCTATAATTAGCTTTTATATCAATTACCTATCGTAGTCAGAACTGTCGAAGAGAAGAAAATCGCTTGCACAATGTTCCATTTTTTTGTATACGGAAACGTCTCATTGTTATTGAGTGATGAGAGTGTTATGCCTCCCTGCACTGCATCTTCGGCTACCTATGAATAGATTATTTTTGTACTCTCATGTGGATTTGTCGGTCGACCCGTGTGCCGAGAGACGGAACTATTCAAAATTGACATTCGGCAGAATGCAAACAATTCAAGTAATCCTCGAGTGGATACCAACTATTTCAGCATTATTTGCAATGTAGTTTAGCATCATCATTAGAGGATTGTTTGATTTGTATCACCAGCGAATAATATGCAGACCGCAGATTGTTTTCTTCATTTTTCTCCCACACATACTCACTGATTCGTATTTTTCCAAATGAAGTGAAATTGCCCTATCCAAATTCCGTAAATCACTGAGAGTGGTGAGCTTCGTTATGTTGCCGACCAAGTATTCACGTTCACGCATCACATCCATGTGCAATTTATGCGTACGGTCCTCTTCGGCTGGTGCCTCAAGCGAACGAAAAATCTAAAAGACAAACAAAAGATATTCAAATGATGAGCGCATGATGCTCCAAAATAACATTGATTATTTCATTGACATTGACACCGCCACCGTTACCACCGCCACGCTTGAATGTGAGCAACTGTCGTCATCGTTGTCGTCGCACCCAATTGAAACAGTTATTTAACAAACATGGATGGCAATGGCAACAAAGTGAATGGTTTTGGTGTTATTTGCCTGTGTTCCGTAGCGCAAGAGCGAATGAGATTGGCTGATACAGGCGAACGTGATAATTTGAATGTAATTGAATTTACTCAAATACACACAGAAACAACAATGTAAACGATAAAGTAATGGCATAAACAGTTTTTTTTTTTGAATGCAAATCGTGTAGAAAAAGAAAGTACATGTTTTTCATGACAATTAAGGCCAGAACAAAAATAAAGAAACAACGACAACAAGAACAACCAAAGTAATTTTCCATTTGGGCGAATATGCTGATTTTCTAGATCGCGTTTTGCACTTATTAATATTTGCTTAACGTGTTGTGTGTTCCAGTAGTAATCTTTGGATTTTATGATAGGACAGCAGCGAATGACAACACTACATGCGCCCAGCATGGATGTAGCATCAGTATATATCAGTAGTTACAGTCAGCAAACGACAATTGTAAAAGCGAATTTGATACTTTCATCTGAATATAATTTCATGATGGAGGTTTGCTATGTGCCTTCATTTTATCCGTGGTTGCAAATTGTGTGCTCCCTCTTACTATCTCCATCACTCCCTTTTCCCGTTCGATTGTTATCGCAGCCATGTAAGGCGATAAAACCGAGACCCAAACTTTCGATGTGCGTCAGAATACAAAAAAAAAACGAACGAACGAACAAACAAACGAATGAAATGAAAAAAGATATAAAAATAACGAACAATTTAGTCAACATTCGAAAATGTCAAAAGGAATCCCATGTAACACCGCACGGAAAATGATTGGAAGCTTAGAAGTTAGTGCTGGTGTGCTTTTTTCAGTGTTCGTTTATCATTTAATTTTTTTTTTGTTCCGTTATTGCTGCTGCCGTTGCTGCTGTTCGTATGGCATTCATTCTCTCGCAGATTCACTCACTCACTCACCATGTAGATGATAGCCAGAAGCATGCTATGCACGAGACTATGCTTATCGGAGCTGAAAAACAATGTGATAATAATCGGAGCGAGAAAAGTTAAACATTATGATGGATACAATGTGTAAAGAGAACATTTCGACAATACCAAACTATTTGCACACCGTACATCGTCGTCGTTGTCGGCGAACATACTTTCGCGTGCGATATACACCATTATGCACACAGCCAAATCAAAAATGGCAGTGCCGCACATACGAAAGGGAGCATCAAATGAAATAAGCACACCGAAGAAGAAAAAAAAACAGTAAACGATTGAGAGAAGAAGCATGAAAATGAACAAATGAAAGAAGAAAAAATGGAACGAAGATGAAGCATCGCATAGTGAAACTGAATTTTTTTCTTTATTGATTTACCATTGGTTGCCATTTGTTGTCCTTACATCGTTTGTACGTGTTTTTTTTTTTTCATCCGTTCGCATACTCTCACTTTGCTCGCTATTCCTCGGTGACTGTGACTCTTGCTCGTCTGTGCGGGGAGAGCAGTCAATGCGTGTGTCATTTCGAATACACTTTTATTTATTATTTTTGTTTTCTTCGGGCTTTAGTCGTATTGTGTTAAGATCTCGACTACTTGCCTTCGCTCCTTCTCTCTTTATCTCTCTCTCTCTCTCTCTCTCCTTTTTTGTTCTGCAAAAGTTTGTGCAGCATCACCCCGATTGTGCGATCAATATCTCAGTCAACCATATGAAAAGTAATCTACGTGCTTTTTTGCTATATGGTTGAGGATATATTGTGTTCGGAATTGAATATTTCGTAACTGTTTCACTTTGGTTGTTTTTCTGTTGCCGTTTCGTCAATGGAAAAAGTTTTTTTTTTCTGCCATGCGTTTCTTGCTGTTTTTCATCTGCCTATCGAACATGGAATTCGTGTGACATGCCACAATTCATTTCATTACATATATAATTGTGCCATTGAAATGGCAAACACACGTTAACGCTTGCATCTCGGAATAAATTTACCTCTTCTCATCTCTCAGTCAGCATACATACAAAAACAAGCGCATACAGCAAAGTGGTCTGGTTGGAAAATTGCGTAACTCGGCGGTATCGTCTGAAATCCCATCATCGATTGCTCTTTCTATGGCAATGTGATGCGAATGGTATGTGTGCTGCATTGCGGCCGACCACACAGTTCAGCATAAACGAATCAAAGCATAATATATTAACCGTGTGGACAAACGCACATGCTAAAATCAAACAGACCAGCATACTAACAGGTGAGCATGCCTTGCATACACAACGCGACCTGGCTGACGGATGATGACAGTGTAGCATCTGTGAAATTGTTAAGGCTGAAGGGCTCACAGCCAAATTCGTGCTTCAAATTGTAAGCATCGAACAAATATGTGAATTTAATCCGTTCCGAGTATACTTTCAATGTTTGTCATTATCGTTTTTTGTTGTTGCTGCTGTTCTTGATCCATCAAGCGATTTAAAGACGAAATGTATGAATCCAAACGGATTCCTGCCATCACACATCAATACCCATGTGAAAATGATACCGTCGAGACGAAAGGGGCAAATATTTACTCTGCGATGCGAACAAAATGTTCACAATATATACTGGCATAGGGATAACAAGAGAAAAAAAAACTTATTACATCAGAAGTTAATTATAGATTAACCAAATGTTCAACTTAGTTGCCGATCATTTTCAGTTTTATCAATTTTCAGCTCGGTTTTATCTCTAATAGGATTTCGTGTCTATCGGGTTTTTGTTTCAGTTCAATTATGATTATTGTTTGCACATGCTTGACTTTGAATTCATTGTCGATTAACCGACAGACAAAAAGTGCGGTTGATGTGGTTTTTCGAGTTTGTCGCTCTTTTCCTTTGCTCCCGATAAGTTTCTTACAATTAAACTAGCACACTCATTTCATCCTTCGAACCGTGTTATCTCCGATATATTCTGTGTACTCATAGAATGTGGCCGTATCCATATATGCATACAACGTGGTTTTGGTTTCACATTTTTCATAAGGGTTCTCGGTATCGACCGTAGTTATTTTTTTTTCTCCCTCCGCGAGATGTGTGCTCACATGCATTATATAAGGATAAAAACCGAGAGAAGAAAAATATTGCCTTAAACCAGTCCCACACAATCGAAAAATCTGTGTTATTATGCTTTCGTCGTTCGTGTATCGTTGTCTATCGTGTCTATCGTTGGCGCGTACGCATTGTGCGCGCGGCATGGCATTCGAAATACATTGTTTGTCGATAGTATGCTCCTTTCTTTCCCTTTCTCCCCGGTTTCGGCTTGTGCTGAGAGTGGGAAGTGACGAGGCTGGTCGATCTCTCGCTTATTCGGCATGCAGCATGAATAATTTATACCTTTCGCCAAAGAACGAAGACGCATTTCCAAAAACATCCATTACAACCATTTCGAAATTATATTAAGAGTCTCAGCCTAAATAATACCATTTTCATATCACAGTTATAAGAACCGACCAAAAACAAACATTCCGAAAGACAAGAGATCCAACACGATGCAACCTATCCACAAACGCTCACACACACGCTTAGATTCATCGTTCGTCTTTATGTGTTATTTTTTCAATCCTTTGCGATTGAATGTGGTTGCTGCAAACTGCCATCACGAAAAATTTATAGCGGATTGGCGCGCACGAAATTCACTATAGCTTCACTCCATCAAACGGCGCGAATAGAAAGCACTCTCTCATCATCTTTATGTTGCTCGCATTATTTCTTATGCGCGCCATATTTCGCCGCTATTGTTTCTCGTTCTCCACTTCTTTTATTTCATTTTGCTCATTTTTGTTGTTGTTAGCTTGACTTGGATTGGTTTAGTTTGGCTGGGTGCCTCTTCGATTTGGCCCACTATCTAACGCGGCAATAATAGCAGTTAGCTCTCTCTTGACGGAAATCGTTTTTTTTTCTTCGTCTTTTAGCCGTGATGTTTATGTTTATTGTTATGGTTGATTATCTGTGGCACGATAACTTGTTTCTTCGTAGAACAGCTTTTTACGATCCAATACCAAAATCATTATTGTAAACCGTTTCTATTCTATTTCATCTTCGAAATCATTCAATCAATTGCGCATGAACTCCCTGTTTCTCTCTGCCTTAGCATCTCACATCCACACTGTCCCCCCATGTCGTTTGGCAAAAAGTTCAACAGAATTTCTATTTCATTGACACTTTCCGTGGCGGAAATGCCACACAACACAATGCGATTACATGCAAAAAACAATGACAAAATAATGGATTTGCCGAAAATGTATCCCATATTGAATACATAAGCTTAGACATCATAACCTACATTCGGTGTGTCGTATTGAGGATATGGATGCGCTCGGTACGGAACCAGACGTGGTGTGGTGTGGTGTGGTGCGGCAAGAAGTTGGCACAAACTGCTGGCAAAACAAAGAGGGAAATGATAGCGGATGTGTTTTTTCGGTCTTCAGAAAATGACTTAAGCACGGTAAACCGAGCAAAACAGAAAACAGTTCACCGAGATAGATGTTTCGTAGGTCGTTTGCGCTTCACATGGGGCGTTGGAAATTATTTTCACATAAATCCCCTGCATTTATTCAAATTACGGCTGAACTCACAACTTTACGCAGTATCATTGTATTGTTTTGGCGGTGAAGTTATGCGGAAACTTTGCCACATTTATCAAAAATTCATGTAATCGTTTCAAACACCGAAATTTAAATCAATTTCAAATGAGCTAGTAAGTGGTGGCATTTTTCATCGCCGGTTTTTCCGGCAGCAAATCGAGGGAAATGAAAACGAAATGAAGTAACACCCGGCATGGATATAATTCCAATTTCAATTGTTATATCCATTGTTGACGTGATGAATGGCAAATGATTCCCGGCTTTTCCATCAAAGGATTTGTGTTTTTATATCGCTTGCTTCGTGTGTGTTACAATAAGTCGTAAAATTATTCGATTTATGGTGAATGATGATGAACTGCGCGCGCTAAATCCTCGTGTGAGGTATTTATATAGCTGTTTTTTTTTCTCGCTTCTCTCCCTCTCAACTTATTGCATTCAATTTCCTGAATAAGACATTCACAAGCATTGGATTCGTGTGTGATAATAATAAAAAAATACAACATCGCAGCAAATGGATAAACGACTAACGAAAAGCGCTCAACCACAAAGTGGACTCAATCACAGTAACCATCGCATTTCAGCCAACAAATAAAAACAATGTTTTGTTTATTTTCGGGATGAAGTTCTGTGTTTTTCTCTATTCGACGACAGCAGCAGCAGCATTCAGTAAATGCGCGCGCGCGCACATACACACACACACACACATGGGTGGCGGGCATTTTTTCAGATAATGTACGATAGACAGAGAGCAAAAACATGGACAACATGTGTTGTGAATGAGAAGAGCTTGCGTTTAACACACTCTAAAAATAGCATTTATCTGCGGCAATACATTGTATGATGACGGAACAGACAGTGGCACTGTGAAATCCAATATATTCACGCATTCCTCAATGCATGCAAAATGAATAAATTGTATGAACAGAATACAGCACACCATCACGAAACAACAACAACAACTACAACAACAAAAAAAACGGTTGAATAAATACAAGTTGCACGTGTACACTTACAGCACCTAATCCGCTTGTGCGATTTATTTGAATGGGGTTTTCTGGTGGCCCAAACGGAACATCAAATCATTGTGAACGAAATGCATTTTAAAATTGGTTTTTGATATACATACACAGACCCCGACTATTTCTTTATCACCATCTCGCCTAACGTGCGCGCTCTCAACTCAAGTTCATCTTGTGTTCATTGTGAGATCAGTGCGCAATTTGGAACCGTAGCATAGAAGTACAATATAACGAGAAATCACGTAAAAATTTTGCTTTGAATATTAAATGAAATTTATGCATGTAAACGATGCCTTTTCAGTCGTAAAAAAATGGTGAAAATTCCCATAAATTGGCACTCATTGTCGGCTCAGTAATTTAATGAAGAAAACAAAAGTTTGTTTTTATGACTTCAACAAGTCGACGGAGACCGAGCGAGAGAGAAAAAAAAGATCTTTCACTTCTTTTGCCCATATTGAGTGTGTGATCTGTAGATCGTTGCTGCTGCTGCTGCTGCTGCTGCTGCTGCTGCTTGAAACGGTGAGCAAATGCCATTTATTCGTTCCCATGAGAAGAATTTATGTTTTCCCAGATGCCAATTCCCATTTTTGTGTTACATGTACATAGCCGAAAAAAAGTATTTCTTTTTTTTTGTTGTTGTACGGCTCGCTTTATGTCAGTATCAATAATAGATTGCAATGGAAAAGAGATTCGACTCGACTACAAAACGTACAAATGAACAAAGTTCAATCCATAATGTGAATTTATATTCTGATGTATTTGTACGCTTTTAGGCTGGATTTCTGTCGCACAAAAATCGTATAATATATCTTCTCCCTCTCCCTCTCTTTCTCTGGCAAGTAACTATGCATGCACGCGCGAGCCGAGAATGAAAATGAGAATAGTGAATGCTTAAACGAATACAACAATAAGGACAAAACACACAGTCAGTGCCGTCTAAATTGCCGTACAATATTTATATTTTTGGCATAACTTTTTGTAACATGTTGACGAAAAAGAAGAATAAATGCCTATTCTTAGGCAAATACGTTTGCCAAGCCGTATGCCCAATGAATTGAGCCCAATTACCACCAGATATGGCGGTTTACGTGTATATATGCAGAGTGCTCTAATTTAATTGTGATTTACACACGTCTACGTTGCCAAAATGAAAGAAAAAAAAAATCCATCCACATTCAAAGTTTCTGTTTCTTTTCTTGGAGTGCGACGCACACGAAAATTTTGATATCGTTTCGTATTTGTATTATGAAATATTGGCTAATTTAACTCAAATGTGTTATTCACGCTCGATGAAAAACTTATTTTTCTCGCTTATGCACGGACGAACGTTCTCTCACACCTCTAACCACAGTAATGCGAAGCGAATGCGTTATATTAACAAATAATAAGCGATTAAAGCTACTCATAAATTCAATGTCATTGTTTGGGAAATTTTCCCCAAATAATAAATACATTGTACATGTATTAATACGGTAAAAAAAATTCCAACAACGGAATTTACAAAGCAGAGTCAAGCGTTCAACAATACTTACGACACCCCCAACCACACAATAAATGGAAAGCGATATCATCAACCCGAAATGTCCAAATGCTGAACGTAACTTCAGTGATTTCCAAATGCGAAAAAAGCGATGTCGAAACGTTGAGCGCTTCTTTATCTCATCGAACACTTTCAATTGTTCCTCCAATAGTTCGCCTTCGTCGCCTTCTTCGTCTTTATTGTTTGCCATTTCGGCCCGACACATCCCAAAATATTCGTTATTCCTCCGGTTGTCTTTCTATTGGAGAGCGTGAGCTCGTTATGTTCGTCCTTTGTTGTTTCAAGAAACTTATGATGGGTTTATTGGTTTGACGTTGCGATTGGTGTTGTTGAATTGACCAAGAGTTGTCTATGTGTCCACGTCTATTTATCAAGATTTACGCATGGACTCTCAGTCTCACTGGAATTATAATAGCGAAACAAAAGTCTGAAAAAAGCTATTTGTGATTATTACTCAGATATTCAATGATGATGTGATTTTTTTTCCAATTTTTTTTTTTTCATTCCGACACAGATGTTTGATCGCTTTATCTATCGCAAACAAAACTTTTTTTTGGCACAAATGCATACTTTTCAACTTTTATTCTCTGTGTATTCTTCCGAATTTGCAAAGAGATATGTGCCCTTTTCCAACTTTTATCGGTCCATTTCTATCCTTCAATTTTTTTATGCTGCAACATCAATATATGTACACAATTCACTAAACAAATTGAAAAAATACTGAGTGAACTCTCGTGTCGAAATAATAAATAAAAAATTTTTTTATATTAAATTCCTTTATCGATCGGTTGTCAAAAGTTCAAATTGTTTAACGCGGAGGCCCTCCTTATTTACTGTCGGAAATTTGAAAATGTTTTTTGTGTGTACACATTGTAAGTGTAGGTACGTGTATTCGTCACAATGTTTGGTGTTGGGATGTGAATGCACGCTTCACTTTTTTCGCTCTATTTTTTCTGTGTTTCCTCGCTCTCTCTCTCTCCCTCTCTCTCTATTTGCGAAACACGCACAAATGTCTTCCGTATAAAAAACGACGTGTTAAAGCAAATAAAACTACGGAAAACCGACACCGTTTCTTTTATTCCTTGATTTCGAGTGGATGTCGAAATTCAACTGAATTATCGTCGGCTTCACTTTGCGGCTACTTGCTACTTGCTTTTTTCCGTCGCTGAGAACAAAGAGAAGCGAAACAAAAACAGAGAAAAAAAAAACACAACAGCCAAGGAATTCCTCGGTTCGGTGTCAAGACAGTGACTAAAACAGTTTGCACAGATGAATCATATCGAATCGCATAGCATCGCATCGTTAGACATCTCTCAGTCAGTAAATGTTTTTGTGAAACTGAGCAGTCAACTAGTGCTCAAATTTTTTTTGTTGCTTGCTTGCTCGTTTGCTCGCTCATTGCTTATCCGTTTGGTGCGTGTTTTTCTTGCTGTGTGCTCAACGTACGGAATGCCATTGTGTCCATGTTTGACTTTTTCATGTGTTTGAGCGGCAAGCGAACGCTTTTCTCGCTCTCTTGGCCGCACAATTATTAGTTTCGAGGCGCGTGGAAATGAACAGACGGTTGTGCAAAGAGAGTGAGAGAGAGAGAGAGAGAGAGATGCGGCAACGGACTTGAAGGCAACAAACGGCGAATGACAAATTTTCCGCTACACTTTTAAATCCAAAAATCCCCACTGTGTGCTAAAGATAGATTGAGATTCAATGTACAAACCAAAAATTTTCCTCTTCTCGCCACACTCCGAACGCAACTTATTATGCTTTCCACATACATACAGACACACACCCGAACACATGCACACACAACATTTGAGTGTTCGTTTTTCGGGAAAAAAGGCGTCGCACAATAGATAAACTACGCAATGGCATAAGATGACGAAATTGGGTTCGTGATGCGTGTGGATCGAAAAAGCGACGATGACGACGGCGGCAGCAGTAATAATACATAATGATACTTACCACTTGTAATCGTATCCCTATCAAGCGAGCATTAGGCTCGGTTCGTCGAGCATCGCGGCTCAGCTCATGCAAAAGTTCAGAGCTGAAATGAGTTAAAAGAGAACTGCCGCTACGCCATGAACAATACTAGTATCATCTACATTCGACGAATCGTTCGGTCGTTCATACTCACTTATCGGCGGAGAAAATATTTCAAAGAGTTTCGCTCTGCAAATAATGTTCAAAGAAAATGTAGCAAATAGAAAAAGGAGGCCGTTTTCAATAATAGAATCATTTTTTTTTTTTTTTTTATTAGAAAAATATCAATGTAATATCAATATCATCATTTTCACTTCATTTCATTTTTTAAAAAACAAATCACTTGTTCGACCCATTTTACAACGTTGTTGTTTTTTGTTTTCTTTTGTCATACATTTGTTTGGGTTCTCTGTTTTTTGATCGCAAATATGTTTCATTAACATCGGTTTGTTTTGTTTTGTCTTTACGATTTTTGAAGTTACAAATAGGTTTTTTTTTTATTTGTTTAAAATGTGCATGTATCTAATCTCATGTTCGTCGAATGTCTTATATAGGTTGTGTTTTTTTTTTCTAAATGTTTCATTCTTTTTTGTTTCATTGCATACTGTTTTGTTGATTTCGCTTCCATACAAAACTAAACACACACACATGTATCATGCACATTTCATTCATACCATTCATTCAATTTCTAAAGCGATTTCGTGTCGACTATAAACTAAAAAGGTTTCTTTTTTCTGCATATTTTTGTTTTTTTTTTTCTTCGTGTTTTCATTTCCATTCAAATACCTTTTCTAAAGGATTATTAGATTATTGTATGTTTTTTTTTTTTAATCGATACAATTGATATTAATAAGTTATCGTTCATAAATACTCGGATTTGACTCAATCATATCGATAACCCGAATCTAGATTCCGAGTGTGTAGAAATCCAAATGAGGTTCTTCAGTGGTGGTCGTGGTTGGGAAGTTATCTGCATTTAGCAACGATTGATGACTTTCGCTGATGAAATCGTCAATTGATACATTTTCGTTGCTAAGATAAACATTGTTTCGTTTGGATGGGGTGGAAAAAACAACATTTAAACCGGGGCGACGTTGAATGGCTTGCACTGTGTCGCTGCTTGTCACCATTGAATCGACTGCCATTGAAAACGATTCGTTCGCATCTTGCATTTCGATCGAAGATTCATCATTGCTACTAATCACGGCATTCAAAAGTGGATTGTCGCTTCGTAGCATTTTTGCGCTGAGCTCATTTGGGATGCCCGAACCGTGACCATGAATGGTATGGGTAAGTGGATGAGTATGTGGATGAGCGAGAGCATGTGCATGTGGATGGTGAGCATGGCCACTGGCATCGGTAAATAAATGCATGGTTGGTGGTGGATCAATCTGTTTCAAGCTGGCTTTCGTTCGGAACACACCCAAAATATTGCCCGTTGTGAGCGTTGGTAGTGTTTGTGTCACGGTCGCCACCGTGTTGATTGTGTTTATTGTGTTAATTGCATTTATCGAATGTTCATCGGTTAAGTAGTAAGTGGTTCGGGTGTCCGCTGTGCTGGCCGTTGTGTCCAAATTGATGTTTTCCATGTTGAGAGACTCATTGCAGTCACTGGGTTTGCCCAGAATATCGATAATGTCTGACGTTTGAATTTCGACAAAGGGAAAGGTCTCATACTGCAATTGTTGCATATTAAAATCGGCGGTATTGAATCCGTTGTTCATCTCAATTGAATGGTTTAACGATTGTGTGTCAACTAAATAGACCGAAGATGTGGCGGTCGCCGATGAATAGCCAGACGTGGTCGAGTCAACGGTTGCCGGTGATTCAAAACCAATTATTGCACCCGTATTGTCTGTTTGCACTATTGGCACAGTAGGTGATTCAACATTTTCGCAAATTGTCGTCTCTTGCACTTCATACATACCGTCATTGTTCATTCCATCGTTTGTGTAGCTCTGAATGACACCCATACTATGCGGTTCAGTTTCATTTTCATCATCATTTTCTACATTATTTTCCATCATATTATGAATAACAGTTGCAACACAACCGCTATTTTCATTTATACTATTCATACTGTTCATACTGTTCATATTGTTCATACTGTTCATTTGTAATAAGCTTTCAGTAGCTTGTGAGATTGACGGTGAAATGGGCTCTGTTCGAAATACTAATTGTGTTCCTGGATGTGGATATGCTGATTGATGTGATGATATCGATTGAGATTGCGGGCTCAATACGCCCAAATTTGTCGTGTTAATTTGTTGATACATTTTATCAACCAGAACGTATGCTCGGAACACGCGATCATCTACTGGCTGGGGTGGTTGTGGTGCTGCTTGTAGTGGTAGCGTAATCGATAGTGGTTGTTGTGATGGTTGCGTTGGTTGAATTAGCTGAGATGGTTGCGGTGGCTGAGATGGCTGAGATAATTGAGATGGTGGCGGCGCTTGCACTGACACTGGCGTTGGCGTTGGTGGTGTCTGATCAACAGTTTTTCTGGCCACCTCTTCAACGTTCGTGGACGGAGTTAGCTGCACGGCCACATCTTTATCTTTCGATCGCTTCGACGATGGCATTGATCGCCGCTTCTTGCGTTCAACCGACGATGGTTGACGTGATGTGGACTCATCTGATTCGGATGCTGATACATCATGATCGACATATTCAGGTGTTAACTTTTTCTTGCGAATTCGCTTCACACGGCTTCGAACACCGGATTTCGGTGAACGCTCTTCACTATTCAAATCGTTCGATGGACTTGTTTGCGGTGGGCTTATGTCAGACTGAACAACTTTTCCATTCGAAATTTTAATTTTCAACGAAGTTTCATGGCCTCTTACGACTGGTGCACTTGTCATGGATTTTGGTGTGTCGGACGTTGCATCGAGATTATTTGGCTTTGGAATTTGTGCTGGCATATGAATTGGCGTTGAGATTGATGTCGATGCGAGTAATGGTGTTGCTGTAACAGTTGGTGTTGAAATCGGAACAGATATTGGGATCGATATTGGAATCGATATTGGCGTCGAAATCGGTGTAGGCACCGGCGATGAAGCACGACAATCATCTTCGTTGCCAATGGCAAGTGGGTCTTGTTCGACCAAAAGCTTCACTTCATCCTCATCTGTTTCGTCGACCATCTTCATCTCATCCGATCCACTTTCCACAATACTTTCAATCAATATGTTTCGCTTGATTTCTTCGGGATTTACTAATTCGATGTCATCTTGAGCCTCAAAATCATCAGCATATGCTGCCTTCTTTAATACTTGTTTGCGCTGTCTTTTCGACGCTGATTTTTCTTTTCCAACATTTGTCGATTTGGTGCGTGTGTATGGCTTCCTCTTCTTTTTTATTGGTTCTGGTGTCGATTGAGTGCCATCACTGGTATCATCAATTATCGAAATTTCCTCGTTAACACTAGCAACCGAGTCATTCACAACATTCGCTACTTTTACTTCAGCCACTGCCACTGTCACTGTGGGTAAAATTGCATCTCTCTCATCATGAGAAGAATTTCCATTTGTTTGAGCTTCAGGAGCCGATTTTTCAGACGAATCAACTCCCATTGCTTCTTCAACAATAGGCAAAACAATTTTCGATGCAACGACTTCTGTTGATGTTGGCGGCGGCATTGCCGGCTCCTTTTCTCTTGTGGCTCTTGTATTGTGACTGCCAGAATTTTCATTTGATGATCTTTTGCTAGCTCTTGACTTTTTCTTCGGCCGCATGCTTTCTTGATTCGACTCAACATTGGTTGGTGTTTCAGTTATTTTCGGTTCGTCGACTACCTTCGGTGCATCAACAACCGTTGTCGTGTCTACTATCTTAGCTTCACTTACGGTAGCTGCCGTTGTATCATCTGTAGTCGTATTGCCAACTTTTGGCGTTTCAGTTTTTTCATTCGATGGCGGAGACGCTGGTGGTGATGGCACTCCAATAAATGAGACTCGTTTCTTCCTTGAACTTATCGGTGTTCGTGGCCGATTGATTCTATGTAAAATACTTTTAGGAGTTTGCGATGCATCATTCGTAGCTGCTTCAAATTGTACGTCGGCTTCAATTTTGTCGTATTTGTTGCATTTCCGTTTCTTTTTCACCGGTGGTGGTGACAACATTTCCATGGATCCATGAATTTTTCGCTTTTGATATGGCTCTCGGCTCAATTTCACTAGGCATTGGAACATTTTCGGATCCAATTTTGCACGGGCTGGCACTTCGATTCTCTTGCCATTGATTATTGTGAATTCGAACTTTTCTGTTGAAATTTTACGAGCTTTAGGTGGGTCATGTGGCGTATTTGTCTCCGGCACTTTGTTTTCCGTTAATTTAGCTGCCGGCAATTCATTTTCCGGCGTCTCTTTCTCCGACAATGATGACGACGACGATTCGGTTGTCGGCACTTCACATTGCGATAATGATACTGATTCGGATTCGGATGATGGTCCCAGTTCTGATGGTGTTTGTGTCAAAACTGACCGTTTTTGTGTTTGTGTACGGGTCTTTGAGCGTGTTGTTTCGGCTTGCGAAAGTGCTTGCTCGAATGTGCAATTCTTTTGCTGCCTTGTCGGCGTTTGTGTGGCTGCCATTTGTTGTTTTGGTGAGCTTGACCGTTGGACCCTTGATTTCTTTGTGTTTGTTGGTAGCTTCGATGGCTTCATTGCTTTTGCACCAATTATTGTTTCAGTGTTATTTTCGGCGACAGGTGAAGCCTTAGTTACAATACTATTTGAACTATTTGATAGTTTTGCCTTTGTTCCGCTTTCAGCGACACCACCACTTGGCTCCTGCTCAACTTTTCGATCCTGCGAACGACGTTTATTGCATTTCGTTGTGCCATCAATTGATTTTGATGCTTCTTCAATTAGCTTGTCTTTTGCTGGAACATCATCAGTTGTCTTGGCGGGTGACTTTTGTTTTTCGCTGTCTTGAGCGACAGCCACATCTTTTTTCGGTGGATGATTTGGCGGCGTATTCTTTTTGCTGCTACCTGCACCGCCCGCTGCGTTTTTAACGGTGTCTTTTTCTTTTTCCTTTTCCTTTTCTTTTTGCTTTTCACGGCCTTTTCCCTTCTCGCTCGTTTTGACTACACTAACAGTTTCATTTTGCAATCGTTTGATGCCTTTGCAATGGTTCATGTCGATTGGCTTCAAAGATTTCCCATTTGCTTTCATTTTGTTCGGTGGTTTGTCGTTTAATTTAGTCGGCTGCTGTGACTGTGACGACTGCTGCTGCGGCGACTGTTTTTGTTGCGATGACGTTTGTTTGATGCAGGATTTGGGCGTTGTGTTTATGACGTCTGGTGAGGTAGACGGTACAGATGATACAGGTGAACATGTCGAGGGTGTGGATTGGTTCGATGATGATGATGTTGTTGTTGTTGTTGTTGTTGTATGATCGGATGTCTTTTTCGGCGACTCTTTATCCTTATCTTTATTTCGGCTGTCAATCCAACGGTTGACATAGCGCTGGTACTTGTTGCGTAGCTCATGCACATACGTCACCTGCATCAAATAGAAATAGAAGAAGAGGAAGAGAAAATAATAAAAATAATACATAGATATAACATGGTAAAATAAATATAATCCATCAAATGGTTGAACAAATTTTCTACGAAAATAAACATTGAAATCAGTTACAATTGAAATGCACGGTCTGGATGATTGAGTGCAAAGCTAGTAATTTCAATTAAGACGAATGCACCAATTGACTTTGTAGGGCACGCAAAAACATCAAACAACATCATAACATGGCAATCGCATGTAGAGGAAAAATAAATACCATATAGCAAACATTGTACAGTATACAAATTGTCAATTGCCTAGGAACGGAATTGAAAAAACATTCAAAAGAATTAGACGGTTCTGTTGCGGTTCACTAAATCCAATGGGCCACAGTTTGTTCAATGAAGCAACCGAAACGAAATAAGTGTATAGAACGGCGGGCGCACAGTGAGTGCACACACACGGATAATGCGCGCATCCATGAACTGTGTTCATGACTGAGCACAATGACTGCTACCGTCAAATCGCTTGTAAAGGCGTGTTCACTACACAGAAAGAGAAAAGCCGTATGAAATCCACGTACATACATTGTCGTCACAAGCGATGTTTATTTACATTTCAAATTCAAAGATTTTGCCGATACGGAGAAATACAATGCACAAAAAAAAAAGAAATGAAGAAAGAAAACAACAACAAAATCCTAGCAGCACATGAAATACTAAATGCGACTTAGTACCGACCCATGGATTTTCTAAAACACTCGAAATCGTTTAGACATTTGACACGATTTTGGTTTGAGCGTAATATGGAGCTTATGAACAACAATTATTTATGCAAATTGCTGTGTGTATATTTCGACTGTCGAATTTTCGTCATTCTATTGCTGCTGTAACGCAGCACAATTTCATTCGACGTTTCTGCTTCTCGGACGGATTTTCTAAAGGAATTTTTTTTAACATTCAGCTTTGACGCAGAGTAGAACATTTCAAGTGACTTAAAACTGAACTCGCTATTATTGCGGTTGCTATTGTTGTTATTTTTTGTTTTCCTCCGCTTTCGAATGGCTTTTGGTTTGTAGCGTTAAAATATGCTTGAAATTCGTTCACATTGTATACTATTAAGATCTTGTGAAGCACAAGAAAACCTTGTGAAACATCACAAATTGACGAATGGGCCGAAAGCACACATTAATATGATGATTAGGTGCCGCCTTTTCTTCCATCACTTCCACATTTCTTTCGATTCTTTTTGTTTTTGGCGACGACAGACTTGTTGAATAAAAAGATTAAAAGGGCCAAAAATCACAGTCGTTACAAAATCGTACGGTATCGTACACTCACACACCTAAAAAAAAAAACACTTTGCATATGTATAAGAAAGCGCGAGCATCAGATTTCATGTAAAACAAAGAGGAAAAATGTCGAGGGCTACCATTAATTGGAGCGTCTGTGCGGATATTATAAATTCGGTCTACATTTTTGCGTGTCTTAACGAAAAAGAAATATACACAGAAGAAATGAGCAACGCAGAGCAGAGGAGTGAAAACAAAATAAAAAAAATATATATACGTATACAAGCGGCAAATTTTTGCATGCGCTTCTCGAATTGTGTTTATTTGGCAAATAAAAAGCGAAAGAAAAAACTTGTTCCTGAAACCAGAATAAACTTTCATTTCATTAGAAATGACGGGGAAACAATTACAATTTGCGTTATCGTGCACGACACTTTGAGGTGAGTTTTTCTTGTGCGTTTGCATTTAATTATCATTCACTAGAGCGCGCAGTATGGATTTTCCGCCCGAAAACGGAGCATTTCATTATGCAAATGCCAATAAAATCGCTGTATGTTTATAGTACAGTATTAGACCTCTTTTTTTCCCATTAAATTGTGTCACCCTTCGATGTAGTCGGTCAACGCGACCTAGAAAATCTGATCACATCAAAAGTCAACTGGAGCGCGAGCATTAAACATGCCACACAATTACATTCACATTCACATTCGTATTCTCTCTCATTCATTTACATAATGTCGGTTTTGCTTTGCTTTTAGCTAAATCGATTCCACTGGTACTTACATTTTCAAACAAATCCTTGCAACAGTCACCATATTTTTTTGTCGGTTCATCTTTGCTCGAACAACGTTTCAGCAATTTGATTGAATGCAAGCATTGTAGGCATACTTTTCGGTTTTCCTTGAATTTTATCTGTGAACGCCAAACACGTCCAAACGGATGAATGTCAGCGCACCGATGACGGATGGCGGCGAAACGGAGAGAAAGACAGAGAGAGAGAGAAAAATAGAAAAGAAAAAAAAAAAACAAAAAACACGAAGCAATGAACATTGGTCATTTGACATTTTGGTCGACATTTTGAAAGAAAATTTAGACTGCATACGTAGTCAAACGCAAACACAGACATATTTTACATATCAGAAACTTAATTACATCTATATTGTAAATAGCTCGTAGATCCTTTTCATTTGTCGGGTCAAATGATTTCAGTGTAAACTCGTTGCGGTTGCATAGCAAACAATATTTATGTTTTTCAGTGCCGTTGCCGCTGCTGCCGTTGCTACTATTGCTGCCATTACTGCTGCTGCTGCTGCTGCTGCTGCTGCTGCTGCTGCTGCTGCTGCTCCCGCCGCCGCTACTATGGTGTTTTTCTTCCTTCGTCGGCATTTTTTTTTTATATAATTTCACACACAGTTATTTCTCATCTTTCAATCGCCATTAATAACTGTATTCACAGTAACACGGGCAAATTATACTGAATGCAAAAAAAAATGAATGCGCACTACTTTCAATTCGACCTTTCTTTTTTTTCTCTTTTTTTTTCTCTTTTTTTTCCTTCTTTTTTCTTCTGGCTCACACAACACTTAATCGTATTTTGTATTTATGTTCGGCACATTTCGTGCTCGTTCCCAGCAAACCTCTTACGCGTTCCCAATAACTTAAATACGGAATTCAATTGGCTTTCGCAATACTGAAACAAACGATTGAACGCAAAAAAATCTGGCCACAAAACACTTTCATCATTCACTGCCTATTTTCTTCAATGGGAAACACGTACATGCAATTTTAATTTGCTTTTCGTAGTTTTCGTAGCCGTCGTCGTCGTCGTCTTTTCATCGAAATGTTATATATCGCGCGTTCAAATGCGTTTGTCGATATTTGTGAGACACTCTCTTTCTCCAACTGATTCGTTCACATAACACACATACACACACTTTGTTTGTTTTGTATTCACACGGAGTGTGAGAGGCGACTCATCGCTCTCCAAAAAGAGAGGAGAAAAAAAAAATATAATACGAATAGAAAATTGAACTACAAAATAAAGATACGGAAAAAAATTTCACAATAAACTAATTACTCGGCACACTCTCACTAAAACTTATTGAAATGTCTCGTTTGCGTGAAATCCAGTCATCTGGTTTTTGAATCAAATATGAAATGCGTCGAATGTGTTCACAAAGAAATTAATCATAATTCTTTTTTTTTTCGTCGTCGTCGTCGTCGTCACTTTCAATGCTATCGATTTGTTGAAATTCCACCGACAAAAATGAAACGTTGAGCTCTTTGCCTGGTTGAACGAGTTCTATGTGCTCTGCTGTTCGCTACATGAATAAACTACGTGAGCATGAATTTTTGTCTGTATGGTATGGTCTAGAAAAATATTTTCCATCACAAAATAACAACGAACGAGGCGAAATTCAATGTATGCGTTTCTCGATTAGTGAATGTTAAATGCGCGACTCGACACAAATCGACACAAACAGCGGGTATGTAGCCATGTATGTTCGTATTGCCGTCTCTCTCTCTCTCTCGCTCTCTCGCTCTCTCTCTCTCTCTTACCGTGTATGTGTGCCAGTGTGTGAGTGAGCCGTTTTCTTTTTTTCGGCCTTTCGCCCGATGGTTGCGCTTGAAGATAGCAGAACGTGTGACACGGTTGCGTTTGTATTGGTGTTGGCTCGTGTGCCCGTGCATATACAGACGGCTACGTATACGTGTGTATACCGTTCACTAACATATACTCCGCATACACAATCTCTCTTTCTTGCGACCATTTCGCAGACATAATGAACGGTTTATGTCAAACCTTGTTTTGATTATTTTCTACAGAGCAGAATCGACCAAACTAATGCGCATAATTTTTTTTTACAGGAAAAAAACAAACTGGATTTTTTTTTTCGTTCGCACCCCATTTTTATTCAAATTTAATATTTTTTCGTTGCAATTATAATTGGGTATGTAAATATTTCCGGTAACAATATTGGACAAACGTATGGATAGCTGCAATTCATTTCGAGCAAGTTAGTTCGAAAAACAGCCCGTGAAGCGCAGATGCAGTTCGGATTTCGGAGTTTCGTTTGACATTTGAGGTTATGTTCATATTACGTTTTCATGACACACACGTACGAATGCACAGGCACACCGTGAACTACGTACTCACGTCGATAAAAGTCTAAATAATTGAGTAGGCGCCAAAGTAGCTGGTGTGTATGCGTATACAGCAACACTGCCAACTGTGATTGTTGATGTGTGAGTGCAAATTGCACGCGAAATGAACGAAGTGTCATGTGTGTATCGCATGTGTTAGAGCCAAATGAAATCTCACAAGTAGTGACAAGTTACCAAATAGTGTGCGGAACTAAAAGCGAAATAACACGAGAGAAACATTCGAAACGAACAAAAAAAAAAAACAGCAGCAGCAGCTGCAGCATCAACAACGAAAATTTCACCGCAGTGATGCATTTGTACTGAGTTGTCGCATTAAACTCGAAATCGATTTTGTAAATAGATTTCAACTTTGCTTTGGAATCGCAGGCATTTGATAACGGCCGAGGCAACGACGACCGTATACCCATTTGGCGAAACCATTTAAGTAAGTTGTTTGACATTTTTGTAGCATTTGAAAATGAAAACCGAACAACTTTGAGTGCTTATCAGTTGCGGAGATAGAGAGACAGTTTTTTTTTTCTGTTTTGTTTGCAAATGATTCCCGAAAAGCTATCGCTTTGAGGACAGGTCATTTGAGAAATTGTTGCAAACCGACCGAATTTTTAGCATGATTAATTGATTTTTCAGTAAATTCTCCAAACAAACTCAAATCTCAATTACATAAAACTTTTATTTATGAATCACAGGAGTCACGTAAGTGATAAAGATAACAAATGGACAATAGCACGATAAGTGTTCTACCTTAAATGATAAATGCTGAAAAAGATAACAACAACGAAAATCTTGAACAATGTCAATTGTATTTATATATATTTACTATTCCCATAAACTTTGAACACACAAAAACAAATATTTATTCCAAATACATTGCAGCGGGAAGTACGATAAACATTCCGATGAGATCTCTCTATATATATATTCCGACAACATTGGAATTTACTTGTTAGTCAGTTGATTGTATCGATTGTTGCGACGACAACATTTCTTCATCATTTTTCTTCTTTTTAAATTTAGTTTTGATTTTCTTCAGTGTAATTTTACCGCAAATTGGCGAATCGGTCGGTCCCAAACTCGGTTTATTATTCGTGACACAATCGACTTTTGCAAAATCCGATAATTTCTTTAATTTTTTCACCGGTTTCAAGCACGCTGCCGTCGCAACGATACCACCAGTTTTGAATTTATTGTGCAATTTATTTGGAGTGTTTCTCGATTTAGATTGAATAATTTCGGTGTTGGAGCGAACAATTGCTTTCGATTTAACATTGGTGCCGTGTGTAAAAGTGTTTTCGGGCGATTCGGATGTTGAACGATTCAGTGCGGGTAATCTAAATGAAGCAACAATAAAAAAAACACATCAAAATTACATGAATTAGATTGTTCAAAGCATATTTTTTCTTCTGTCAAACATTAAAAGAAGAAAAAAGGCAGGTGTAGAATTTTACTTTTTCTTTCTTGCTTTTTTCACGTGATCGACACTTGGCAGCTTGTCGCTGGTCACTATAATTTTCGGAATGTTATTGACTTTTAGGTTTTTTCGCTTATCACGCTTTTTCCGCTTGTTTTCATCTTGTTTCCAAATCATTAATTTTTGGCTACATTCGCTGTATTTGATATAATGAGAGAGAGACAAAGAGATAGAGAAACACATGACATGTGTGCGTTTGTGCATTTGATTAGCGGTGTACGAAAAAAAAAACACGAATTCGAACATTTCAAAGTTTAACGAATTCATCATTCAGACACTCACACAAGCAGTTCCTCGTTGGCATCAAGTTTGAATTGTTTCTTTTTGTTTACAACGGAAATCCCCCACGATAGCGGCTGATAATTGCTGTCCGTAGTATGGTGTGTATCGACCGAGTTCGACATGCCACTCCAAACTTGCTTTTTAAGTGACAATTTGACTTTCAGATTCTCCACCGTTTGTTGATAGTCAACATTTGTGAATCTGTGCGTATCGTTTTGGGTGTGAGTGTATGTGTCGAGGCAATCAAATATTCAATTGAACCAAAACCAGAGCGAATCACATTGAAATGGCAAAACAATCGCATTGAATAATTTAATCTGCGGCTTAAAACTAATTGTCACATACTTTTTCATATTTTGCCAAGTGCTATGCCGTTTTGTTCCCTTGATTGCTGGCAATTCCGATACGGCCACATTATTGAATTTCTCCTTTATTTCTAACACCGATTTGCAACTGTCCGGCTCAGTGTTGGAGTTGGAATCAGACTTCTGTGCAGAGATTACGACCAATTCGTTCGTTGTTGTTGTTGTTGTTGCTTTGTCGCTGGTTTGCGCCCGTTGTCCACATTTCAATTGCATTCGGAAACTATTTTTGGTCGAGGTCATGCGACTCTCATTGTTATCTTCACAATCGCTCGTACAATCCAAATATGGTTCGGCCGTGGGCAAATCAATAGCCGACCGATGATATTTATGTGACTTTTTCAACGTTGCTATCGTTGGCCGACCAACCGTTTTACCCTTTGTCCGTTGGAGCTGAGTAAATCACGTGAGCAGCGAAATAAACAGCGATTAATTTCTTTTGGCGAAAAAAAATGATTTGGCGTTTTTTGTTACCCTTTTATTAAGCCTATTTTTAGTCGGCGATACCGGCGATGATGGTGGAACTAATGGCACTGGCTGACAGCAAAACCCTTCTTCATCGCTGTTAAGAATGTTTAATTCGTTTTCAGAGCTACTACTGCTGCTCGTATCGCCCTCATCGCTGTAAATATGTAAACAGAATGCACAAAGGCTTGGAATATTCAAAGCAAACCGTGGACAATTGAAGAGACAATTTTTGGCCATTTTGTCAAAATGTATACTACCTCGAGTAATCCGATAGCTTGATGTTCATTGGTTCGTCGGCATTTGAACCTTCCTCGTTAAGTCGGCTCAAAATTTTCATACGAAGCTTTTCCTATATTTTTCCATGTACACATGTTATGATGATTAGTCTTTTTTTTTCTATTGTTGCCGGTGTAATTGGCCAAACGATGGATGTCGAATGGCTTTTATTTAAAATGTGATACCTCTATTCTTGGTTTCAATGATCTACTTTCGTGTCGAATCTGTTGCTAGTAAAAAGCAAAACCAACAACTACATAGAAAACAATCAATCGTGCGACTTTATTACGTAATTTGTGCATTAACTAATGTACAATGTAGTACACAAAGACAACGAAAGAAAAAATAACAACAAAACAATTCATTGAAGCACTTCAATCAAGCTCTCGTCGAGTGTGCGGAATTTGAACACAATTTGGGTGTGCGCGTGCGGTAATAATAATTTAATGATCTTCATTTGCAACAAGTGCTTTGGCAGCACGCCTTTGCAAGCGTTCGTGTTTGCGTAGTTTTTTGATTTTCTTCTTCAGTTTCAAGCGTTTCATTACTTTGTTGGGATTCTCATCGGAAAAGTCCAAAAGTGTCTCACAAAATGCTCGACCTATTTGCTCAAAGTCCTGCAAATCAAATGGATTCCACATCAAACGGTCAATGATAATATAATTATAACGATATTTGGTAATAAATATTAAAATGAATGCTCCCTACAGCGGTTGAAAAGTGCGTCATCGCCCGGCCGCCCAAACTCGACCCGCCAAAACTCGCTTCCATCGTATAGCTATTGGTGACGCCAAGCATCCACACGACGATACGGCCGGTTCCCTCTTTATTTCGCTGAACTTTAAATTTGCAACTCTCGAACGAGAACTGAGAAAATGGGACGTAAAATGCGATTGATTCGCGCATCGGTTTTGATTTTGTTTCGTGTTTTTTTTTTCGTGTCTTTATATATAGAATAAAAGTAATCAAGTATGCAGAATAAAGCAAAACAAACCTTATCGCAAACGTTTTTGTGCAACATCAATGGGAATATTTGTTCGGCTAGTTTTTTATCGGGGTCACGCTTATTTTCACAGCCATAGATAAAGACATTGTGTTTGCGTGAGTGAGCGTGCATATCGCAATAAAGTGCAACTCCCAATTCTTCGGTCAGTCTTTTGATCATTGTTTTGGTATACCAAATTGACGGGTATGTTTCACGTATTACGGTGCGATACTGCCGATTGAGATCTTTTCCCGTCAAACTTGAGCGTGTATTTCCTACTATAACACCGTCCGGATTAAGCATCGGAATCAATTTGAATATAAATTTATGGCGTAGTTTTTTGGCAATTATCGAATCACCGGTGAGAAAGTCCATCAATCCCTTCATCATCCATGAGGATGGCGTTTCACCCGGATGAACTCTAGCGCTAACGACAACGGCACGTTTTTTCTAAATAGAGACATATTTCAATGTTAACGACGTGGGTTGAATGTGACGTGTTTCAAATTTCATTGATTGACCCATTTTGAAGGGTGTTTAATGCCGTTCAAAAAGAGGGAAATAAAAATTAACACCACAATGAAAACTCAAAACTCAATTTCCTCCGAACAAAGCGCATTTTGTACAGTATTTTACCTTTGTTGAGTCATCGTCAGCAACAGGTGCCGTAACCGTAAGGCAATACACATTATTGCCGGCAAGTGATCGGCAAAGTAGGCGCAGCTTACAAAATTTCGATTTTATCGGATGCTTTTGTATTGTCATTAAATAGTCCTATTTTAATCGAAATAAAGGTGATTAAGGGTAATCAGAAAATTGCACCGTCATATACGCATTTAATGAGTATGGCGCGCGAGATAAGGGACAATTTCCGTTACCTGTAGGTCGCTATACGTGTACGGATAACTATGTGCAAAGTAAACGGTGTCATTTTCGTGCGGGAATTCAATATTGAATGTTAGCGTGTAAGTGCTGTTCTCATCATCGTCGTCATTGGTTGGACTAAATTTAATAAATCGATAAGCAAAGTTTTCAGGGAGAGAGAGAGAGAGATAGAGAGAACAAATAAAAGCAACGGTATTGTCGTCGTTGTCGTCATTCACATGAATAACATTTACATGTTAGTTGAAAAATAGTACGTACGAGCTGTCTTCGTTCTTAAAGTAGGCGATATTCTCTCCACAACGTCGCCAGCCAATTTTGGATTCTTTTGCATCGATTTCGGAGTACATGAGCGGCCGCATTCCTTCATTGTACAAACTACCGGATTTTACCAAATTCACAATCGATAATCTGATTCCGTGCATTGAAACGATGAACAATATTTAGCAGCAATGCCAATGAATACGAAATGAAAAACAAAAAAAAAGATTAATAGCAGAAATTGAATATTGTCTCAAACAATACTTGGCATGCAATGGCATTCGTTATGGCCCCAAAAAAAAAATTGAAATAATGGCAACGCAAATCGAATTGGTCTCGTTCACTTTCTTATGACTACCCATATAAAGTACCTGTATGTGAAACCCTTCTTCACATTGGTGACACGAAAGTAGAACCACTGTGTGTGTTTGTTGGTGTATAAATCTGGTCGCAAGTACAGTTCATAGTAAACGGGTGTAATTTTGATGGCTTTCGCTAGATTGCCGGATTCAAAGCGTGACTCAAACACTAAATCATCATCAGACACGACATTGCAATTCAGATGTGCGTTCATCAAATACTTGGAGCTCCCAACACACGATCGGCTAAACTGTGTCATATTAAAACAATTTCCAAATGATTTATACGAAATATTGTTGGTATTGCTGGTATTGTGCTTCGTATTTGACAATGGCAGTGCCAGCGTCGGTGCAGGTGCCTTATTGCTATCAAAATGTGTCGAATTTGGTGACAAATCGGTGCTGCTGATACTTTTGCTTTCTCTATTGATTTTGATTTTGATTTTATTGAGTGTTCGATCGGCATTACTATCGCAATATGCTGTGCTCGGGTTCGATGATACGGTCAATACATTTGATTTCAATATATCTTCAGTGCTTCGCTCATGCCTCTCATAATAATAATCATCGGAGAGTGCTTCATCATCTTTGTCACATGAATCGTCTGACAACAAACTCTCACCGTCGGAAGAACTATTTGTGCTATCGTCGGAACGTGTTCGTCGTCGTCGTCGGCGTGATTTTTTTGCAGGCACATTCTCTCGACATTCATCTAATGAATGCTGTGACATTTAAACAAGCGTAACGTGTTTCAAAATGAAGAGGAACCAAATATATTAATTTAATAACATTGCAAATTAATCACACTTGCACACACACACACACACACACACACACACACACACACACACACACAAGCAGTCTAATAACAAAACAACAAGTCCGAAAAATAACCGAATTGAATAAATCGAAATTAAATTATATCCCGGTGCCGTCGATTTGAACGCTACATCTCTCTGTTCATTAGGATCGCGAGTAAAACAGATAATTATTCGAATTTTTTTCCCGATGCACACGTCATTTAGGACACAAATTAAAATTAATTGCTTTTGACAGGCACCTTCTCTCTTAAAACAATTTGTTTATCTATCGGAAGTGAACGAAATAATCAAATGGAAACAAAAGGAAATGTTTGCCGACGTTTCACGAGAACATTAATTACATTCATGATAGATTTCGAATTAATTTTCGGTTTGCGTTTTGTGCACCGTTTATTGGTTGTTGGCGTCCCACAAAATTGACACTAAGCCAAGCCGATTGTGTGATTGGGCCGCGCGCAAACAAATTTCAAGCGAAAATGGAAAAATATCACTTCAAAACGAGTCAGCAGATTTTTCATACAGCCGACTCTCAAAAATCACTGTTTGTTTTGTTTGTTTTTGATGTTGCTGTTGCTGTTGCGTCGCATCGCGATAAGTGCCACTGCCGTGACTTGTCATTTCAATATGAAGTGTTAAAATGTGCTGAGCGCTGACCATATTTTCTGTCATTTTTGAAATGTAAACACTTCAGTTCTGTTTTATTGGCCTTCAATGAACTGTTGAAAATGTGACCGTTTGATTTTCGATGGTGTTCGAAAGCGCAAAACCGTGCGATTTGAACATCTGTATCCTTGAACTACGCACAAAATGCAAGTTTATTTTTGATTGAAGCTCGTGCACGTTTTGTGAGCGACTCACATTAAACAAAAATCATCTGTTTCGACTCGTCAGAGTGTGTCATACGCTTAAGCTGTCTATTTTGTTTTTCTTTCTATTTTCTCATTACGTTTTGTTTCTTCTTTTCTGTTCAGTCATTGACATGAAATAACAAAAAAGAAATAACGGTCACAATCTATTTATATTTGTATTGACCCTTGTAAGCGTATACATTTCGTGTGGTAAAATAGCAGTAGCAACAACAACAACGAAAACAAAAACAAAAACAAAATGAATCCTGCTCGTTGTTTAAAATGTCCAAGCAATATTCCACGCGTCCGATATCGATTTCCATATCGACATCGATATGGAAGTTTATGTGCGATTTTGCAAATCATTTCTTTTTCCGTCTAGTTTCTTTCGCTATTTTTGCCTTAGTGCATTCGTTCACCTCTAATAGCAATGTTATGGCAACTCAAGCGAAACGAATCTCAAAATACTCACATAGTTTACGGCACTTATTGGATTATAGTAGAACACAACCGCACCGTTTTCTTCACCAACCGGCCGCGGCTGAATTTCCTGCCCGCTGAACTGATAATACGGTTCGGGTGCGGATGGAACATACGTAATATGGAACACTCGGTCGTCCAACACCTATTTCAATATATACAAAATGCATACCGTAAATTGAATGAATGAATACACACACGAAAACAGAACAAAAAAAAAAAAATCGAAACGAATCGAATCTATTTGAAAACCGCAACGCAAATCAAAAGCGGCAGCAAACGGAAGCCAAACCGATTATAGATTGTAATTTCATGGTTTTCATGTGTATACATGATGTGGCAAAGGAATTTCAATTGTTAAACATTGACCTGCTATGTGATAAAAGAGAGCGATATAGATGGGGCGTTAATGTACTCACTTGACATTCAGCAGGCCATCGGGCGGTCTGCTGTGAACATTCATTATCCTTATCTTTTGGCAAGGCGAACAGGTTGCGTGGCTCTTTCAGACGAGCTATTGCTCGTGACGTTTGCAAATCAGTATTCACTTCCAGCTGAGTAGTTTTTAAATTGTTTGCTAAAAAGCTACCCAGGAATCCTTTTGTGTGTCGTAATAACATGTGCAACGGCGTTCAAAGAAATCAAATTAAAAAAAAAAAACAGAAGAGAGAAAAAGTATGAAATTAGATGCAGTAGCGCTATGGTCAAATGTCGTTAATATTTAATGCGAATAAACGGAGCAGTGAAATGTATTTTTATATGCGGACTTGTGTGACCTCAGCTCTCGATCCCAATTTCTAATTCCATCTCATGAAAAATATCAAGAATAAAGCAAAATAACAAATTTTTTTTATGTGTTTAAAATGTAATACGTGTTGCAATCGGAACGCTCGGAAATTCGTGTGCGTGTGTTTTACTCTAGAGCAACGCTCTTCTGCTCATCATAAATTAAAATTAATGGAAAATGTTTCGGCAGGGAGAATATAGTATGGCAAATGTCCATAGCATCAACATGGGTCGTATATTGGACAATGGTACACTTTTCACTGTGCGCACGTCCAACTGGCGACACATTGAAGCGATTTTTATCATCGAAAACATTTATTTTATAGTTTGTTAATATTTTCGTTTCGTTGTTTTTTTGCTGTTGAGTGGAGTGAGAGAACGGAAAAGATGGATGACGCAGTCAAGTGGAAATGTTCTCTAAGTGAGTGGAAACTATATGCCACATCATCGAGAGACATAGATCAAATAATTTCATTTTTATTGTGAATATATCGCTTCAATCGGTTGATGCGTTTGAAGCGCACAATATTCGATCAGATAAATGACCCTCCTTTAAAACGCTATGCGATGCCCGGGAAATATTGCTGTGACGTGTCGCGGCCGTAATTTTTTTTAAATATTCTCCCATTTAAGAATAAAATCGATGTGGTTTGTCGAACAACGATTTTCGTGTTGGTCGATGCTTAAATGAACAAATCCATTTTTTCACGCCACCACAAAGGATTCGTTTATGTTGTATATCGTTTGGCCGAACAACCGTTTAACATTCATTACTTTTAAATTACCTGTGCTTTTAGCAGACAATTTCAAACACGAGCTATTTTCAGAAAAATCATTCACTTTGTTGAAAGAAAAATTGATTTAACTATTCTGTTTGATGGTGAACGAACGCGCGCACAAACAGATCAAATGCCAACAAATTAAAAAAAATATATTTATGAATATTGTCTGTTTCGAAGAATTTCCGTATGTTTATTGTTTGCGACAGACAAACTAAAATGTTGGCAGTGGGGAAAACACGATGTTATTTTCAAGCTAAATCTAAGATGACTGAGTTTTAATTCGCCACTTTGCTACTCCTTCAGTTCAAACGGAACAAATAACAGCACACTCTCTCAAACAGAGTTGAATATACATACAGTAAATATTTGATATTTCCTTGGAAAATAAACGGCTTAAGCGTACACCTACAACAAACGAACGAAGCAAATTTTCTCTCACTCACGGGCGCGCTCTCTGTCAGCTGGGCAATGCAATTCGAGCGAATTTTGTGTTTTCATTTCATTTCGTATCGTTTGAGTTGTAACAACTGTAATATTTGTGGTTATTTCGTTTTATCTATGTAGTTGGAGCATATTAATAGCAATTCGTTCTCTCTGCTGTGAGAAATAAAACGTTCGTGTGAGAAAGTATGCTAAACGAAAGACAAAAAAACAATACCTATACAAATGCCGATTCTGCACTCGTGTATGCCGAAACAAAAATGTTTATTGTGTGAAATAGAGAAAAAAAAACAAAAACTTTAACTCGTTTGTTTTTATTTTGGTATCGTTTACATACAACAACATAACTTTCGGGTTTATATTTTAAACGTGATTCAATCGTTTCGACGAATTGTATATTTTGCTTTCTTTTTCTGCCTCTTTGATGTGTCGTTATTGTCTCCGAAGCGCTCTTTCGAAGGAATCGGGTTCTATCGTGCCAATTATACATAAATATATTCATGGCATCGGCGCGATATAGAAAAATATGAACTGAACCAAGCCAAACGGAAAATTATGGTCGTCGGTTCACACAGCCGATGTATAAGTCGATCGCTATACTTTTCGGTATCCGAATAATTAAAATAATTGCTTAGATGTTTTGGCAGTTGTGGATTTTCAAACAAATCGCACACAGCTTCATTGCTAATTGCTGGTATTTTTGTTTCTATTTCTTTGTCGTGTGTGTAACAGTATACAGCAGTCACGCCACGAGACGTGTATATCAAAGGTATATAGTGTTTGGTGTGCGACCACCAACAGTCGATAAAACGACGCAGTGCACATTCAAAGAACCGAACCGAACGTAGAACATAGAATGCGTAAAACACGAGCGCCTTTTTTTATGCAAATTGAATTTTGTGTGTGTGTGTGTGTGTGTGTGTGTGTTGCTATGGCATCATAATTAAAACTTCCGAACGCATTTCAATTTCGTCCGAGTGTGATAATATAACAACCGTTCATTTTGAATTCATAATACTCGACGGAAACAGAAAGAAAAGCATTTTTTTTCCCCTATCAAATGGAATGTTTTTGAATAGATTGTGCCTTCTTGTTAATTATTTGTGGTATATTGCACATGTTCACATGTACATTGGTAGAGCGAGAGTGTAACTCGGAATTTTGAATTCATTTCACAACAACAATGGAGAAAAAGAGCGTATGAACATGTTGTTTATGTAGTTTTCCATTTTTTAACGCTCTCCAAATGAAAAAAAAAAAATGTGTATGTTTATACCTCGATCGGGAAGTGTACAAACTGGAAATAGCTGCACTTGTAATGTTTGAACTTGCTCCGACACATAGGAGCTCATCTTTTCACTGCTGCTAGCCAAACTTTGGACAAAGTTGCTAGTTGGACTTTTTCACAAGAAGATTCCTTCCGAACTGTACAATCACTGAAACTGAATGATGATTTCCGCATGGAAGCTCAACAAAAACGGCCACATTTTTGTGTGCACACAAAAAAATCACTTATTCGGATGCATGTTTGTGATGAAAATAGCCACACAAAAAATTACACTCATTTTTCTATCTCTCTCTCTCTCTCTCTGTTTTTTGGCGAAGAAATGAAAAAAAAGCACAAGATTATTGAAGGACACTCAGAGTGGATATTGCACGAAATGTATTGTGTGCGATACATCCGTTCAACGGAATTGGAATGAAGTGCAAGTGAATGGAAATTGGAATTTCCGAGAATCGGAATGCTTTTATCGATTTGTGGCTTGTGACGGTTGTGCTTTGTCGTGACTCATTTCGATTTTCCAAAAATTCATTTGAATTTTCGACAAACGATAAGAAACCATATCGTTGCATGATTCAAGCGATTCGCATTCAAGCTAACCACGCGCAACCGACGGGTTGCCAAAGAACCTGTATTGAAATCAACCGTTGTTTCGATTTTTGTTTGACTTTTATAACGGGCCGAAACGAACAACAAAAAATTACTGCACTGTGTTTTTTTTCCAGTCAATATAAATATGATGATACACTAAATGGTTCAATGGGAGAGAACGTATCGGATATTTTGCCATGGGCAATAATATTTTGAGCATTTATGTGTACAATGTGTACGGATTTGAAAAATGAATACAGTTTTTGTTGACGATATTGGTAAATATTTGGTTTGCTCGATTTATTCATTTATTTAGTTCAAATCGATTTTTAACTCATTAAAACTTTATGATTTATTACCTTCTGATAAGTCCTCGTTGATCAAGGCGTCCATATTGAATCAATTTTCCAACCAATTAAAACCATATTATTTTTAGTTGTTGTGTGTGCCAAATCGCCGCCAATTATCGCCCCAAAACCACCGAACAAATTTCTTATTCCTTTTATTACCGTTGTTATTGGTAAACAGCACGCGTTTGTGGGCAAATGAACTCTAATTAACTGATTGGGCGGTTTAAACACTGCGTGTGATACATTATCAAAACACAATCACCACAATCAGTAGCAAGGAAACAGTTAGACTGTGCAAATTGCACTGATGTAATGGCATTTATTCCAAACACCAAAACGGGCCCAACCAACAAAACCAAGCCAATCCAAACGAAACCACAGCTCAATTGAATGAACCCATTTTTTTTAACTAGACCGCCTTTTTTGTGGTGTATGCAAACAAGAAAAGGACAATAAAGCTAATGTAACAAAGCAAATATGTACGAAAAATGTGATGTGGATGTCGAGGGAAACAATTTTCTCCTTTTATTTTCCTTTTTGTTTTTGAAATATCATATTCACATTTTCCATTCGGAATAATAACACGAGCTACGTATGAATACATAAAAAAAAAAACCGAATAAATAATGTTCTGACGACAATAGGTAAAACAAACACCAGTCTTGAGTTTGTTGCCTGGCAAACATTCATCGCACAAGTTTATTTATGAAGCATATTTTCGATGCGCCATGCCATTCCGTTCCATTCCAAACATCAACCACTCGACGCGGCAAAAAAGGGTCGTTGCAATGCAATGAAAATAAAAGTGAAGAGAGAAAAAGTTTTTATCGTGTTTGCATGATTGTACACGCACCCGTTCTTCTCAAGGAATGATATATACGTATATATCTGTGGGTTGCGGATCACGGAATAAACATATCGAGTGGATTAACGATAAACTGGCTCGAATTAACGATTACACCACAACGTTTTTGTTTCGTCTTCAGTTCATTGACTGTTTTGGAGCGCGAGTGTCGAAATGTTATTTTCCCTGTCGATACGTATCTCAAAATTCATTATGTGAAAACATACGCTTTTTGATTGCTTCAGATAGCAGAATACCCATCATTATCAATCATTTAATCATTCCACCAATTCCATAGCCATAAAACATTTTGTTCCGTAAATTTCGTTTTGGTTTATTTGCTTGCTGATTGGTTCTACTCACAACTTGTAACTTACAACACGCAATTCGGAATACGTTCCTCTCTCTCTCTCTCTCTCTCTCTCTCTCTCTCTCTCTTTCTCTCTCTCATTTCGTTTTCGTCGAGGATTCGGACAAACAATTCGATAATAACCAATAAACATGGAACATTTCGTAAAATTTGGAAAATAAAAATAAAAGCCATCGAACTTAAGCCAATCCATTTCATTTTGAATATTAAAACATTTTCATCAGCTCACTGAAATCGTTGTCATTTTGCTAAATTTTAATTCTTTTATCAGCACTAAAATTGCAATTTTCCTCGTAAATCGATACCAAAGTGAAGAAGGATCATCCAATGACAGCTCGAAAATCGAAATCTGACAGCTTTGCTGCATAAAATCCATATATCTACGTAAAGTAAATTGAAATCGAGCTTCGGTTTCCGGATTTCGAAAGCACAATGGAAACACATTTGACGCATAAAATGAACAAAACACAATTGCGATGGATTTGGATGCATTTTCAGTGTCGCTATGACAACAGATTATTTGTTAAATCCATAATCCTTCGCAGTCGAGAAGTCACCATGGAATATAATATTTTACATTTTAGAGATTATCCTGTCAAAGTGCAGTCTCGCATTTTGTCACTGAAACAAACACTCCTGAAATATTAACTACAACAATAGCAATACGCCGGCAATAGATATATCGGGAGCATTCAGAACCAAAGTCACTTTTACTTTCATTTCTTAACAGAATTTAAACAGGAAAAATTCATTTGTTTTCATTTCTTTTTCGTCTTCGGAATAGTGATCGGCAATTGATTGGAGGGAAAAAAACAGCCGGAGGTACAAAAAAAATGGGTCGAAAAGTAACGGTTGCCGTTTCAACGCTCAATCAATGGGCTCTGGATTTTGAAGGAAACCACTCACGAATATTGCAATCAATCATTGAAGCTCGCGAAATGGGTGCGACATATCGCACAGGACCTGAATTGGAAGTTACGTGAGTAATCAACTATCAATTCAATTGCGGTTTATCGTCGTCAGTCGCATGATAGAATAAAAAGAGAAACAAAATGATGAACAAACAAAAAACAAATACATTGATTTGATGCTCGAAAATGGTTAGCAGGTTATATCGAATCTCATCGTTTTCTGGAGCCGAACGTGATTTTTCTTTCCGTATCATTAGTTTAAGTCTGAACTTTTCCCTACTTCAATTCCGTTTCTTTTCGTGCTGCATTTTATGGTTTTGACAAGAATACTATTACTTTTTTACATTCTCACAGCGGTTATTCTTGCGAGGACCATTTTCTCGAGCCAGATACCTTTCTCCATTCATGGGAAGTGCTGCTGCAACTTATGCTATCGCCGTTATGGTATGTATTTGATGTAATTCGAAATGTATTGCTTGAAAACTTTATAATTTACTTTTGCTTGCAGTCAGAACATGTTGATCGACGTCGGAATGCCTGTGCAACATCGAAATGTGTCATACAATTGCCGAGTGGTTTTTCTCAACAAGAAAATTCTTCTCATTCGACCGAAACTGTCGAATTGCGACGATGGCAACTATCGTGAGACTCGTTGGTTCACACCGTGGGCAAAGGTAAATGTTTGCAATCAAATAGAACACACTCCCTCCATTAATCTCTTCGATTGGTGCAGCTAGACAATTTCACTCTAAACAAACTTTGTATCTCTGCTATTTTACAGCGTTTTCAAGTTGAAGAATTCTTCTTACCTCGAATGATTGCTCGGAAAATCGATCAGGAAAAATGCCCGATTGGCGATGCATTGGTTGCAGCACGGGACACGTGTTTAGGTTATGAAATATGCGAGGAATTGTGGAATGTAAAAAGTACGCACATTGAAATGTCTTTGGCTGGAGCTGAGATCATCGTTAACTCTTCCGCCAGCTATATGGAATTGCGAAAAGCATACATTGTTACGGATCTCGTGAAAAGTGCCAGTTCAAAGGCGGGCGGTGCATATGTATATAGTAATTTACGTGGTTGTGATGGTCAGCGTGTGCTATTCAATGGTTGTTCAGCTGTCGGATTGAACGGCGAAATTATCGCACGCGGCAAGCAGTTTTCGTTACAAGATGTGGTTGGTACCGTTTACCCCATTCATTTCATACCATATTTAATGTTTTCTTATCTAATGTACATATATGCCAAACACAAAAAAAAAAAAAAATTATCATACGAAATGTGTAATAATTGCAACACCTTTTTCATGTCAAATTCTAATCGATTAATCATTTTTTTTTTTCACTGTAGGAAGTGACTTCGGCTACATTTGATTTGGAAGATATTCGGTCATATCGAATCGCGGTTCGTTCTCGCTGCCAATCTGCTGCATCAGCAGTAAACTACCCACGCGTGAATGTAGACTTTGAACTGACCAAACCTCATGATCTATTCACTGCAACGAATTCGCCAATGGAATGGATTTACCATTCACCGGAAGAGGAAATCGCCTATGGGCCTGCCGCTTGGCTGTGAGTTTTGCATAGATCATACATTTTTGATAGTTGAATGCAATAAAAAGAATTTGAAACATATTTTTTTCTTATCTCAAGGTGGGACTATCTACGTCGTTCAGGTCAAGGGGGATTTTTCCTTCCGCTCAGCGGTGGTGTAGACTCAAGTTCAACGGCAACCATTGTACACGCAATGTGCCGTATGGTTGTGAATGCAATCCAATGCGGTGACATACAGGTGCTGGACGATGTGCGGAAAATCCTAGGTGATCCAAAATTTGTGCCCGAGAATGCAGCTGCACTATGCAATCGCTTGTTGGTCACATGTTACATGGGTGGCCAGAATTCATCGGAGAAAACGCGCAAATTGGCTTCAACACTAGCAGGTCAATTGGGCAGCTATCATTTGGAAATTAACATTGATTCGGCAATTAGTGCCTTACTAAGCATATTTCAACTTGCAACGGGAGCTTCGCCAAAATTCCGTAGACACGGTGGTTGTGCTCGGCAAAATTTGGCACTGCAAAATATCCAAGCTCGTATTCGAATGGTGTTGGCCTATTTATTCGCACAACTTATGCTTTGGGTACGAAATCGTTCCGGTGGACTGCTGGTTTTGGGCTCAGCAAATGTTGATGAATCGCTACGTGGCTATATGACGAAATATGATTGTTCAAGTGCCGATATTAATCCAATCGGAGGCATTTCGAAAACGGATTTGAAATCATTTTTAAATTTTGCCAAAGTGAAATTCGATATTCCGATCATTGCGGATATCATTGATCAGCCGCCGACAGCGGAATTGGAACCATTAGATGATGGTCAAATCACTCAAACCGATGAACAAGACATGGGAATGACTTATACGGAATTGAGCACATTTGGAAAATTACGAAAGCAACAATTCTGCGGACCATACAGCATGTTTTGTCGGCTGGTTTCTACTTGGGGCAGCCAATACACTCCAAAAGAGGTGGCCGACAAAGTTAAGCACTTTTTCCGTTGCTACGCCATTAATCGCCACAAAATGACCGTTCTCACACCGTCAGTTCATGCTGAATCATACAGCCCAGATGACAATAGATTCGACCACCGACCATTCCTCTACCGTGCCAATTGGCAATGGCAATTCAAGGCGATTGACGAAGAGGTATGAGCGTTTATAATGTACTTTCAACATTAGTTTTTAATATTAGACGATTGATGATGTATTTTCTTTTTTCAGTTGAATAAGTTAACAATTAAATCGAGCAAAAACGAAGCATCACACGATGAGCAAGATAGTTCATTGCCGCGACGTCATTCGCAAAAGGACATTAAATCATCGCTGTCAACACTATCGTTTGGTGGTCACGATTCATTTGCCAGCGAAAAACGTCACTCGCTTCGTTCAAACAGCAGTGTTATGGGAAAAATTAAAGATCGAACTGGTATTCCAGTATAAAAAAGCACCGCAAAATTAGACTGTTAGTTGACTTATTTGACTCATTTCAAAACTTATGAATCTAGAAAGCTTTAATTTCTTTAGGGGAACAAAATAAATTTTGAATTTAATTAGAAGAAAAAACAAATTGACTCATAAATCTTTTTGAGATTATCAACGGAATTTATAAATTCTATACAATCATATCATTTTTCGAAAGTAGTTGCCTCACCAACATTTCTATATTCTAAAAAACATCGATTCTAAAATTAGCGAAACCAATTAGCACAACGGCACTTGGCCACATGATAATAAAAACGAACAACTTTTTTTAGCAGAATTATTAGAAACCAAACAATAAATTGCATAGTGACTTCTCTTTTGAATGTACAAACTTATAGAATAAAATAGATTAAAAATCTAGCCGAACGAGCAATTGTATTATTCATTTTGCAATGTTTATTCTGAGAGCATGCCATGCAACATCGATGGCCCCAGTTTGTAAAGTAAATGGCTCTATGGTGTCGGTCGCACATAAACTTCGGTCCTGCGAACGACATTGATTAAACAACATTCATATGGAGACAAATAGCTTGAGGGTGAAAACAGGACAAACATTACCATGTAGACATTGTTTGAAGCGTATCCATATGTTTGATGAGCCATAATTTATATCAAAATTCAAGGGTAAGTCTTTTAGTTTGAGCATGGTTTGTGTTTGTTCTGATAAATGCTTCAGTGATTAAATTATTACGTTGTTAGCTTGCTTGTTTAAACTCTATGTTTGCTCTCCTTCTTTCTCCCTTCTGCTCCCTAGAAGCACCATTGCGTTATTCTCGGTAAAAAAAATCCACACAGTACTTGGTACATCTCATAAATTATTGCAATCCTAATGTGCAAGTGCATGGTAAGCTGTTCTCTCGTGCCGAGGTATTATTATCCTAAGCCGTTCATAAAAAATTCAGTCTCATCATTCTGCTGGAATTACGTTCGATGCGTAGGAATTGTGAACGATGATTTTTCCCATGTATATACATGATTGCGACATGCATTGTACTTGCTAATCTGGGCCAGATTTACATGAATTTTTCCTAAACGTTTCGCATACAAATAATAAAACATGGATAAGGACCATGTAACATTTGATTTACTTTGACGTAACATTCACAGCCTACAATCGTTGCGATGATTACAACGATTTTACAAAGTGGCATGAAAAATCATACAACAAAATTGCTGTTGCTGCCAAAAGTGTGAAAAATAGAGTTTAATTTAAATTTTAGTAAGAAAATTTGTTCAAAATCTGATGGTTCGGCAATATTTTAATGTATTTTAATCATAAACAAGATGGAAAGGCTTCACTCAACTGAGAAGATTATTTCGCAATATTATGGGACTTTGTCGTACTTTATTAAATCATAATTGAATGGATAAATTGAAAGAATTTTACGAATTTTTTCACTCTTCTTACATTTTTTGGCCACAATTTTTTTCTCCAATGCTAAAATATCATGTCGTTTTACATTCAGAGAAAATGTAAATGGTTCATATCCATCCATTACCGATACAATAGTATTTTTCAATTTCACAATGCTCGTATATGGCGACTTCACCCGTAATGTTCAAACTTCGAAAGAGCAATTGAACAAAGCAAGTAAAAAATCCATATTTGTTTGTTTATTCTCTTATCAAAAACGTCTGAAAAAGGCATACAGTGACGAAAACCAATGAATGAATTATGAAAACGATGTGAGCAATGAGCATAACCATAACCATCACCCCATTGACTTCCATTATGATTTTTTCATTACTTTTCATTAGCCTGATATATATTTCATTAACTTTTTAAAAATTCATTACATGCTTTTTCCCCTCATATGACTAGCAGCAGCTCAGGCAAATCCAACGCTGCAAACCATTTACGAGCAACTGAATAAAACAATCAAAAAACGGATGAAGATTTTGTATCATCATAATGACGTTACCATGTGTAATGTTGCCAACTCTCCATTGTGACTGTCTTCAAATATTGTACAACAGGCATAGAGGCGAGCTCGTATCTTCTGCCGAACGCTCTCTGCTGAGTTTAAATCATTGATAGCAACAGAATCAACCTTCAATCTAGTTAATACCTTGATTAATATTCGAATGATGAAATCGATAAAAAGAGCAGTTTAGTGCGGTTATCCCCATTTCTCAACACATTTTCGGTGTTGAGGGTGCGAGGCCGTTTGGAGAATGCAAACGTAAGTTATGATGAAAAACACCCGATTAAACTTCCACAACATGCGCGATTGACAACATTATTGCTTGAGTAAGCACACCGCGAAACGATGCATGGAGGCATCCAACTAATGTTACATTATGTGCGAGCCAAATACTGGATTATTGGCGCAAGAAGAGCAGCAGCTTTTATTGCTAAGCAATGTTTAGCTTGTGTGCGATTTGCGAATTATGACAAACATCAATTCATGGGCGATTTACCTGTAGAGCAGTTGACAGCTACACGGCCGTTTGCACATTGCGGAGTTGATTATTTTGGGCCGATTCGAATTAAGCGATATGAAGGAAGATGCAATTCAATCGACACCGGCTATGCTGCCGTTTTCATATGCATGACAACTAAAATGGTGCATATTGAATGTGTTTCGGATCTAACGACTGTGCGGTTTTTATGGTCATTTGCGCGATTTACTTCGATTTATCAAAGGCCAGATGGCATGTTCAGCGACAATGGTAAAACATTTGTGGGTGCAAAGAATGAGCTGTGCGATGTAACAAAATCATGGAAATCGAAAGAGATGAAAGACTTCTTGAGCGTCAAAGGTCTTCGATGGAAAGAATGACTACCAGCTTTGCCCTATTTGAACTTTTCATGATATTTGTACGTGAAATTTATAAGTCCATCTATTGAAAAAACCCAAAATCAATGAAACTTCAAAGTTTTTCATAGATTATCTATGGTATTTACATGTGACACATACAGCGCCATCTATTGAAAAAAGTCACAATCGTGTCAAGTTGAAATAAGGCAAAATAACCCAGAAAATGGTTGTCATTCTTTATTATTCCAAGAGCACCAAATCAAGGAGGAATTCGGAAATCAGCTGTAAAGTCAGCAAAACATCACATGAAGCGCATGTTAATTGATAAAAGTTTAAAATTTCGGCTGTTCTAAACAGTCAACCATTTGTGCCGTTAACGGATGATCCATATGATCTAAATTATTTGAATCCATCACATGCTGTGATTGGTGAGCGGACCATCCAACCACTGTGCGATAATCTTCATGACATTCCATTGAATCGATTGACGCAACAAAGGGTTCTTGACAAAATACAACAAGACTTTTGGAATACGTAAAGAATACATCGGTACACTACAAAACCAATACAAGTGGAATCGAAATGAGCGAAACTTATGCGTTGGAGATTCTGTGCTGCTAAAGGAAGACAACGTACCACCAGCCACTTGGCCCGTAGCGCGAGTGATTGAAACCTATCCTGGGAAGGACAACGTTGTGCGGTCGGTTAAGATACGGACACCGAAATCAGATTATGTGCGGCCGATATCAAAACTCGTCCTGTTACCCATGGAAGATCAACTGGCCCATTCACCGGAACCGAGTGCAGCAAAATGAAATATGAATTCGAATAAGTATTGAATTGTAAATTGAGTAATTTGAATTGTAACATAAAGAGAAAATATTTATTGTATAGATTATAACAGGGGGATTACAGATTGACAGTTGAGCTACATGATATATACTGAATGAATAGTTCTGTGGCTTGCCGTATATGATATTGTAGGGCAAACTGCGGCGCTAGTGTGCTTGTGTTTCAATCTACAAACCCCTTGGATTATAAGAATCATGAAATATTGTAGTTAATTGAGCTGAAGCACCTATTGATTTGTATAACATACACAGATACGAAAAGGTGTCTCTTTCCAATAGGTGTCTCTTTTTCGGACAATATGACAATCCATCCATATTTTCGGACAACTTCACTCATATTGTCTCATTTTGTGGCCAACTTCATACTAATTTACCTCTGTTTACCTCCAAGTGCCAAATGTACAATAGTATGTATAATAGTAGTAGGGTTGGCCAAAAAATAAGACAATATGAGTGAAGTTGTCCGAAAATATGGATGGATTGATATATTGGCTGAAAATTGGACAAGGGTTATCCAATACTGCTGTCTGTGTAGAATAACCTTATTGAAACCGAGCGAATGAATTGTCATTGAATTAAATTAAATACCCATGCGCAGTTGAAATGTATAAATTATATCATTTTGTAAGTTCTCTTCGCCGATGCGGGAGGATGTCTAAATTAGACAAGTAGTTTTATCTCGCTAGATGGCGTGGATTACAGTTGGGCTTTTAGACCGAACGCGCGGCTCATAAATGATTGTAATTGTGACCAACTTCAGGTGCTGCGTGTCACACCTAGCGATAGTGTGTGCGCGCGGAATAAACGCTCTTATATACAGTCTACATTCCAACTAAACCAGACGTGTTTTATTCTCTTGCTCTACCACTGTTGCAGCCGTAAACAGATTCACTTTTTTTCTTTCCTTTTCAAAATGCTATAAATAAACAAAATAATATAATAAGGATGAAATGAATTTGTGACAAAAGTGATGTGTATTGTGTGAAAATTCTATGCATTTGATTGATTGTAAGAAATATTTCCAACCCGAATTAGTATGTTTACGTATATGGAATAAGATTGAATGGTTTTGCTGTGTTTATTTTGATTTTCATTATTGAAATCCAGTTTACTTTTAGTATTTTCTACTTTTATTTCGTTTTTTTTTTATTTATTAATCTTAACAAAAAAAAATCCAACTGCAGATCGAAAGTTTGATTTTGAGCACGGATGATCAACCAAACAGAGAAACAGAGAAAGAAAGAGTGAAAGAGAGAATCTTTGTGCGAAAAAAAGAAAGTGTAAGAATTAATTATGAACTATTTGCTTCTATTTTTACGTTACTTTATTTAGTAAAAAAAAACTTTAACATTTTACACAAACAAAACCGCACGCTATTTGTTTAACACACACGCTTATAATCTCGCATTTATTATATACAGAATACGAAGTGTGAAATTGTGAGGCGCCGTGGATTTCATGCGACAAAACTCAGTACTAATTGGTGTGATTGAGCTGTAAATAGCCGTAAGTGATTTCGACATATTGTGAAATACCACAAAATCACACCAAGTAGTACTGAATTTTGCCGTACGAAATCCACGGCGCCCTACAATTGTTCAAAATTTGACAGTAAACGGGTATTTTAACATTTTCATTTTTTTTTTATATTTTCGGAATGCGTATAAACTTGCTGAATGATGATTGATGTATGCTAGATGATTAATTTTTATATTTTTAATTCAAATGTAGTCAACATGTCAATCGAATACGT